AAGTAGACTGCACAAAAAAACAACTTACAACAGTCAGTTACTGTTGTGTATAATTTATTGAATGCCAATTGATGGTTGCACCTTAAATTAAATACCCTTATGTGGTCACCGAGTCAAAATAAGATTGAATGTTAAAGAAAATAAGTTATTTCCTATTCTGTATAATATGTTACATAGTGCAGAGTATTGAATTCATTCCAGTTATCTTCCTTTTTACTCTGAAATGCTTAGTTAGGCTGCAGGCCTACAAAATAGGTGGTCCTGTGTCATCACCACCCCACCCCAATGCATGATATGGTATTTATGATTGAATTGGATTTTTTTCTTCTGCTGCAAAGGATTCCATAATTGCCACTGTCAGGATAAGGTATTTCCATTTACCTGTGGATGCTGCTGTCAAGAATCTTTTGAAGAAAGTAGTGTTTCCTCATTTTTTAAATATTAGTTTGGATAAACTTTCTCTTTTGCACTGAGAAATGAGAATTTAAACACCTAATAAACAAAATAAAACCTCTTGCCAAGTATTAATAACCTTAATTTTCTCATGGACTTTCATGGCATTAATCATACAAATTGTGTGGTTAACTGCATTTCTTATTTTTAAATGTTTACTTGGTGGACCAATACATTATCTGTGTCACCCATATTCATATATACATGTATGTGTATATGTACACAAACATTAATTCATTCAGGCATAGGATTAAAAGTTCTGAGTCACCTGATGTGACATTTTATGTTACTGATAGATCACAGAACTTTTACTCAAAGTATCTCAATAAACCACTGCTATGTCAGCTTTGATGGCATTACTACTAAAGTTCTAAAAGGCTTGTAAGAACTTTTTCAGGTGGGGTTAACCTCTATTTATAGACTTTGTTTAAAAATTCTAAATACAGCCTGTAATTATGAATTAAACTGTTTAAGTATATAAGATGAGCCTAGAGTTTTTTTTTTAATGTTTTATATAAAGCATAAAGCATCACATCTTTGGATTACTGTTCAAAAATTACTTCGCCTGATGCAAGTATATAGAGGGGGGGGGGAATGGTTCAACTAATACTTCTGAATATCAGAAATATGTTCCAGCCTCCAGATGTAAATTGTCATCCCCCTATTAGTATGACATTAGATTTGCAGACCAACCAATTCCAGTATGGTACATGAGAATACCATCTTGAAAACTCATTCTGAAATAGAAAGTAAGAAAAGGATAAGTACAGAGTCTTTTCAGTATCTTCAGTACTGTATTACAAAGCATGGAAACTTTACAATTGATCCCCTTTTGAAAAGTCACCTTTTAGTTTGTTAACATGATAATTATACAGTTCCAATATGGTCTGCCATAAAACATCTGCATCAGTAATTTAGTGGCTGGATTTATAATCTGCACGAAGTTGAACCCAAATAAACCAAATTATTGGTTAGCACAAATGTGCTAATCCAGCCACTGAAATCAAATTAATTCTATTGCCGAGTAGGATTTCAACTTTTCAAAATTTCCTTCTTTTAGGATCTAGTTAAGAGCTACCCTTGTCAATATTGGTCTAATTCAAACCTTACCCAACTTGCCATTCTCCAATTGGGTCAATTCTGCAATTCCCAAATTGTTGCTATGAGTTGCAGTCAACAGATTTGAAAGTATCACTTTGGGAAAAGCAGAGCTTTGCAAGTATTTTGATCTGTTTCAAGAGGCCTCATGTCTATATTTGAGGATTTGCACACTCAAGTGGATATGAATGATGGAATACCCTAATATGAGTGCTGGTTGGTATCTGTTACATTTGTAATAGCTTTAAATGACCCACTTTACTAAGAAAACATCTTGATCTACAGCTCTTATTTCCACTTACCTCTTCTTTTATACTGCTCCCAGCTTCCAACAGTATGCATAATAAGACTGTCCATGCTGAGAATAATTTAGAAGCATTTCTGATTGTACAAATCTTAACAGAAAAATAATGTCCTTGTGTGGAGTCTGGAGAACATCTAGATTACCTTCATAGAATGCACAGTTTTAATACATAATCTATGCAGTTCATTAAGTCAAATGCCCTCAAAACCTATGTATATCATAACAGATCTGAAAGACTTGTGCTACTATAAAAATGACTTATCTACCCATCTGAAACTTTTGTAACTTTGGATGCTTTACATTAGTTATTAATTCTGGTTGGTACCTAGTATTACTATTACATTGGTTAATTTTGCTTTTTTAAAAATTGAGCTTAAATCTTGAGGTATTTGATTCTGTACATACAGCGATCAACACACGTAGATTGATTTTGTGCCATCAAGTTGATTTGATCTTGTCTGACTTTGGATAGAAACACAGCAGACTAGTATGTCTGTGAAATAGCGGGGATAATGCAGAGGCAAAGATCAATGGTCAGACAATATGCCCAAGCTAATAGAGCTTTTTCAGACAGAGCAGCCATTGAAGCATCTACATGAGCTCCAAAGATGGGGGTAAGCTCCACATGAGGAAGCCCACAGGAAAAAGCACCCATGTATCAGCCTTTCCAAGTAAATCAGACAGGAAATAACTAGATTTAGTTGCAAGTCTTAAAGTAGAAATCTACTGCCATCTCTTTTTACTGACTGATAAGTTAGTGTGGATTCTCTCTTTACATTTTTCAACCGTTAAGCCCCTGGGAGCTCCTCCCATTCTCTTGTCTCTTTCCTAGGCAGTATCTTTTCCCCTCATCCCTCAAGATTATCCATACCTCCAGATGTAAACTACCATCTTCTATCAGCATGGCATTAGATCTACAGACTGACCAATTCAAATTGGTATATCATGCTTACAGCTTTGTGCAAATTTTGTTTAAAGGATACTGCCTGATCCACTTTTTAAAGCACATTTAAATGGAGCAAATTTGAGAGCACTTAAAGCCACTTGCATGAGTGTGTCTTCGATCCACAAAAGATTAAAGTTGAAAAATGAAAATGCCAGTTACCAAGATTTTAAAAGAATTAAATGCAGAAAGCTTATTGGGAGTTTAGAATAAGAAAGCTAAAAAACAGCCTAAAAGAACAGTTAAATTTGGAATATTGCCTCTTTAAGATAAGATAAAATAAGATAACCTATACAGTATATCTCTGTGGGAAAGAGAATACATTAAGGAAGCTGATTGACAGACTGTTAAAGAGATAAATAGAAGAGAAACATGAAGTTCTGAGAACATATGATTACAGAAGTACAAAGTGCTGAATGGGACCAGTGTTATGAACACAAGGGGGGAAAGCGTCATATTGTACTCCCCTTTTATGGATTATAAATTTGAAATATATAAAAATATTTATTACTAAAGGGCGAGAAAGTTATTGTTAGCCTTCATAGACAGACTAGACAGGAAATACAATCAGATGAGCAAATTCTATTTTATTGAAAAGATAAAAGGTAAGTAGTCCCTCCGGTCCCTCTGGTAGTTGTTGCTGACTCTAGGGGGCGGTGCTCATCTCCATTTCAAGGCCATTGAGCCATCGCTGCCCAAAGGCATATCCACGCTCATGGCCAGCATGCAGACACAGTGATGTTACCTTCCCACCAAAGTGGTACCTATTTGTATGCTTTCAAATTGCTAGGTTGGCAGGAGCTGGGGCAAGGACGAGTGCTAACTCTGTCACGTGACACTCGTATCTTGAACCTGGCTGCCAGGTTTCCAGCCAAATCCAGTGTCTTAACCACTGAGCCACCAATAGAAAAGATACATTAACACAGTTTTGAAAGTCTGAAAGTACAATGTTCCCATCCTCATCATTACAACTTTACAACTTGGTCTCTTCTGAGCCTCTTTTCTCCCCATCGGGCAGCTGCAGGCTATGCTCGCTCTTATCTGACCATTCCCTAGACAGCATCTCTTCACCCCATCTTCCAAGGTCATTCCCACAGATCATTCCAGTTATAAAAGGGAAGGGAGGATTGTTAGACCACTTCAAAATAATATATCTATGATAGTATCCTTTTGTATGAATTTATCTATTTCATTGGCCAGCAAGATTATTATATGTGTATAGAATGCAGATATATTGAAGTTACCACAATGGAAGATGGAATGACAAGTATTTTATGGAATATTAAACCTGGACTTTTTGCTGAAACTGAAAGAACTAAAATAATTTTAAGATTGGACAATTAAAATAGCTTTGATGGAAATATGTGTGTGTGTGTGTGTGTGTGTGTGTGTGTGTGTGTTCAAAATTTTGTGGCTGACAAAGAGTTAGTGGGAGACTAGTATTGTCAGCCACAAAATTTTGAATTTACAGTGTTCACAGTATGTGACGTCTGCCTGCAAAACATGCTCCTAGATTGGAGCGAAACGCAGAACAGATCGATTTACATTTGGTAGACCGGGTGCTCCACCCAACAGATAAGACACACACACACACACACACACACGTGTGTGTGTGTGTGTGTGTTTATATGTAAAAGATAAATTACAATGTAAAAGATAAATTATGATTTAAAAAAAACTATGAGCAGAATAACTATGGTTTAATTCATACATCAGGCATTTGCTATTCAGCATATGTTGAGTGCATATTTTCTTTTCCATGAACCACTTTTAAGTTCTTCCTGTGAATTTAATTTTTAGGCTAGCTGCCCATCCAGCCCTGTTGAAACCTTACGGATTTATCCATCTTTCCTTAAAAAAACAAAAAAAACAAACCCTCACGCTTACTTCTTCCTCTTGGTTGATGGATCCAGTTAGGAACTGTTCAATCTTCCTTCCAGCAAGAAGGAAACATAGAGAAAAGAAAGAAATCTTTAGTCTTGGGCGTTTTAGATACGCAGTAAATTGATTTAAGCCTGCCTTGGGTCTTTTCCCGCTCGCGTTTAAGCCTAAAAGCTCCCTCCGGACTGGCGCCACACCCAGATCAGACGCAAAAGAGCTCCTGGCCAAAGTTGGTGGACAGCAGCGCTTTCTTGTAGTCTGGAAGCGGCCCCTTTGAAGAAGCTAGAAGAAGAGGTGGAGCCCAACCGGCTGGAGGGTTGCTCCGAAGGTGCTGGAGCTTCGCTACGTTTCTATTATGAAGCCAGCCACTGGCTTTCAAGCTGGGGAGAAATACGGTAAGAGGGCCAGCTTCAAGCGCCCCCTGGATTTCAGAGGAGAACATCTCGTAGCCAGATCTGACAAAGCTTCCTTGCCGGGTCGGATGGATGCGCAGCATATGCGGAGGAGGGGCGAAGCCAAAGACCCTAGGTAGATACGAAGCCGGGGTGTTGGTCCTTTATTTGCGGGGATGGCTGTTTCCCTGATTTTCATGCCTTCTGCTTTCAACAGCACAGGCATGACGGCAGGCAGAAAACCAACCGGTGAAGTTTTGGTTAGCAATGAGTTTATGAATAATCACCAGTCGGGCTCCCGTATTATTGGTCTTTACTGAGGCTGAAGACAGATGCGATATTTTGAATTATTGAACACTGTTCTCCTTCCTTGCCTTCTTTCTGATTACTTGGAATATTTTATGGAAATGTGTTACAGAAAGCAGACTATGGCTATGCTCACTTGCTATAACTGATACAAAAATGAACCATATTTTAATGAGTTTTCTGAACCTCTGTTCTTATCTAGTTGTTGCTGAATTTTTGCAGAAAGCATATAGTCCTTTTTGACCTATTGTATATTTCAAACCCAGACACAGTGCAGTTAGTTTGTTCAGTGTGTTATTACAAATTGAGAAGGTTTTATTAGTTATTAATTAATTATTAATTGACTAAAGTTTGGGCTACTTAATGATTGGCAAATGTACATTGCTTATAAATAAATATGGAACATATGCACGTAAGGAAGGTGACAACTGTACAAATGAACTGAAATAATGAGCAGATCTAAAGAACTAGCTGATAGAGAATGTAGTGGCCCTGTGGTCCTGAAGCATTTTTCTTAGTTACATAAGCTGGGGAGAAAGTAATAGTATGGTTTTCTTACAGTTAATCACCACTTTTAAGTCCTACTCCATAACTAGAGTTGTGGAAATAAGGATGAAACAAGCTAAGCAAATTGTACAGAATAAAAAGCAAACGTGTTAAAAAATAAACCTAAAATACAGAAGTAGTTTTAAAATGTAGCAGCAGACAAAATTACATTTACTATCTGTTAGATAGTAAATAAGTACAGTCCTACATTTTATTATCATAGCTAAGTAGAGAGATACCTTGATTAAAGATAAGACCAAGGTATCTTGAATTGCCGTCTTGATGAGTTATTTGACTGAAAAAGAGAATCAAAGCTGGGCAAGTAGGACTACTGAAAAAAATAGATTACCTTGAGCTATAAAATTTGGGGAAGGTTCTTTGCAGTCTTGGTTGTTGGGATGTGCCTGGCATGACAATTATAATGTGGACTATAGTTAATAAACATTGACATGATAAATATACTAGGCATTAAGGGGTAATTAAATTGGTAATTATTTCTGCTATAACATAGAACACCACAACATTCTGGGAATTTTGATCCAAGGAACACCTAGTTATTGATTCAGATTATTAAAATTAAACTACATAGCCATATCAGTAAATATCAGTATAAGTCTCTCTGCCAGTTGTGGCCTTTTATAAAATCACCCTCACTGTCCTGGGGAAGGGGCTGAAAGACACATAAAAACTTATACACAGGAGCCTGCATAATATAATATGTGTATCTCTGTGCCCTGAAAGATTAAGAGAAGGCAGGCTGTATACTTTGATAACCTCAGTTTGATGCTAGCCAGAGTCAAGAAGAACAAGAAAAAGCTTGCCGCTTATTTCCTTTATTAGAGCCACCAAATACGACTTGCAAAAATCTGGATAATCACCTGATGGCAGCAAATAGCTCTTTTCTGCCCGACTTTGCTGTCATCTGGTGATTATCCAGATTTTTTGCTGCTCAGATCTGAAGCCCGGGGTTTGATGAGACGTGAAGTGAACTACAGGTAGAGGGGCTTTGCTTTTCACTCCTCATGGCAGGTTACTAGCTACAAACAGCTGTAGAAACTCTGTTAATGTGAAGTCGAGGCAGGGAAGCTCTACTACTGTAGCCTGCAAGTATTGTAGACAAAGAGGGGTGTAGTTCTCCTCCTGTGCATGTTGAGGAGGGAAGGAATGATTCAAGAGAAAATTGCTTCAGTTGGCTCTATGTCATTTTGTGTATTTCCAAGATTGCTTTTTTTTTTTTTGAGTGCTGAACAAATAATCCACTGTTCCTTTAAATCAAGATCATATGCCACTGTAATTCACTCCTTCCTCAGGATATTGCAACTAGGTGACCTCCTCATCTTTCCATAGCAACTCTAGCTGGGAAAGACACAGTAGTTGCCCACTGACGTTCAACTCAGCTGACAAGAATTAACCTTCCAATCACCAAAAACATCTTTTGAATTACTTGTGAAAGGTTTTACCCTAGAAAACCTTTCATACAGAATGCATAATTCTCCCCAGACTAGCTTCTAAGGCAGTCTTTCTCAATCTCAGCAACCTTAAAGTGGAGAAAGCCCCAAAATCTGTACAGAACTACAGCTTCCTAGCCTCTTATCCCAACCTTTCTTGGGAGCTGCATCTAAGCCAGGGGTGTCAAACTCGCAACGTCACGTGACATGTCACGATGTATCGCAATTTTTTTTCCATTGCCAACAATGGGGTGGGCACGGTTTCAGCATGAGGCATCCAGCCTGTTGGCCGGCAGTTTGACACCCCTGATCTAAGCAATCTCCATTTCTTGAGCAGCTGGCAGCCATTTTCTGCCATGGGAGTCTCTTCAGGAGGTGGCTCCCACAGGGCCTCTTTATCTGGCCTTGCCAAAAGGGGCCTCTTGTTAGGCCACAGGCTCCTCCTAAAGTGTGCCACAGGGCCTTTTGGGTACCTGCAGCTGCTGTGCTGTTTACAGAGTCTACAGGCAGTCCTCGACTTACAATCATTTGTTTAGTGACTGCTTGACGTTACAACAGCACAGAAAAAGATGACTCATGACTGTTTTTCAGTCTTGCAAGCATTGCAGCACCCCCATAGTCACCCCATGATCAATTTCAGACCTTGGCAACTGATTGATATTTATGACAGTTGCAGTTTCTCAATGTCATGTGACCGCCTTTTGCGACCTTCTGACAAGCAAAGTCAAAGGGAGAAGCCGGATGCATTTAACCATGTTACTAACTTAACTGCAGTGATTCACATTACAGTTGTGGCCAGAAAGGTCATAAAATGGGGCAAAACCCACTTAATTCTCTTAGTAATGAAAATTTTGGGGTCAATTGTGGTTGTAAGTCAAGGACTTTCTGTACTGCCTAGCCCTTCCTGTTGGCCTGTTTCTGGCCTCCCAGGCCAAATCTGTTGACAGGCCTCTTCAAAAGCCTGAGTGTTGCTGGATAATCCCTGGTTTTTGTTTTTCAAGTGCTGCTGACTCGCCTACCTTGCCATGGCCTTCTTTGCACCTATATCGCCTGCTGTAACTTCAGGCATACCTAGCCATCTGCTATTTCTATTAGATTTCAACTTCTTAAGCTATTTAGCTTAAAGGGAAACATATTTTTCATTTCCTTAAAACTTTTATTTCATTTTCTGTCTCCAAGCAGCCCAAATCTGGAAACCAAATCTGCATGCCTCCCTCTCTTTCAGGCTCCTTTGGTTTTCTTCCATAAACACACATGCAACTCCTGGCTAGGCTGGAAATTTCTGCTTTTCTCTCCACAGTAACATTGGAATAAGCAGGTGGAGAACATTGCATAAAGCAACAGGGAAGGGAGGAGCTGTAAGGAATTTCTTTCCATTTCAGGCTGGACCTTTTCCCTTTAATGTGCCCTTATGGTGCACAAAAGCGTAAATGGATCTAAATATCCCATGAGCCTGCAGTACTTAAATGGTCTCAAACCAGCATTTCAATTTCTTTGGGCTCTGCTCCAAGAGCAATCCTGGAAAAATGAAATTATAAAGACAGTTTTGCATCTAAAACTGGTTAGCTAAAATCGTTGGAGAATTTAATCCTGATTTCTCATTATGTAGCAGTGATCTTCTCAACACCTTGTATTATAAAATAGTCATCCAGTTTAGGAATGTATGTTATAGGTAAACATTTTTTATCTCTTGATTTTTTTTTCTTCATGCTCAATTGAATCTTAGTAAGACAAAGAAAGAGTTCCAAATTGTCTGGCTCTGATTCAGTTCCAGTGACTGCTCTACTCTTTATAAGGTCGCACTGAGGCTTGGTAATTGTCCTGGATTACGGCCCTTAATAGAGCGGTATCGAGTGCAGACTGGAGTTCCCATTGTAGCTTATCCTGGACCAGGAAACCCCAGCAGCAGTGAGTTACATCCTTATCCCCACATGTTTAAACCACTCTATGCCTTAGAAAATGATTCAGAAATTATTAAAAATTCACAAAGAGGATGCATAAGTAGTTACATTAGGCAAGAAGCAGAACTTAAATATAATTGTTGCCTTCTTAAAATAAGCAGAAATATTTGTTTTTCTGAGATACATTTGTGGAACCAATTATTTGTTTAGAATTTATTCAAATTGAGAGATTCTTGACATTTTTTTTTCCTAAACAGCCAATTTATTGAGAATTAGTGAGTACAACATCTGTCCACCCAGCAGCTGGAAGCTGTCTACTTTGAAGTATGAGAGTAGAACTAGTATGTGGATTGATTCCACTAGTTTTAGGCTCTCTTGCTGTGTTAGGTTAGTAAATCAGCTTTAAATGACCTTATTTCATTTCATTGTATTATTAAGTTTATAGCCTGTGTTCTTATATAAGCATTCCAGGCCATTAACAACAAGTAAAACAAATACAATATATAAAATGTGACATTAAAGTAAGCAAAAAGAATTAATTTTTTTTTAATCTGTGCAGATTATATTCTGATAGCTATCGTGTTGCTTTCCCATGCACAAAGTGTTTCTTGATTCTGCCAGAAAACTTAGTATTCATTCTTTTTTTCTTCCCAGATCATCTACAACAGATCTGAATGTTGCTCTCAATGAATGCATGGTAGCCGTGAACTTCTTTCTGAATAACAAATTCCAAGATGCCCTTGCTTCTCTGCAAACTAAGTGAGCCACTGCTTTCATCTTCCCTCTTCTGGTTATGATCAACATGCATAATTATAGGATTTAGAGACAGGAAAATGTTTTATAAGACTTCAAAAATTAAGAATTTCAAAAATGTTGATAATAACAGCAATTAGTACCAGCTAACATGGATTTGTAAACAATAAATTGACAAGTTGACAAAACTCTGCTAGGTTTAATGTAATTTACTGGATTGCATGGATAGATTAAATGAACTGTATGTTGATTATAACAAAACATGTGAATAGGTGTCCTTTACTACTTAGCATATGACAGTGATGGCGAACCTTTTAGAGATTGAGTGCCAAAAAACTGCCCCCGCCCCCACTCCACCCCCTGTACCACACTGGCCCCTGCCCTGCCCCAACCCCACCTGCCCACAAGGCCACTCACTGCCTCCAGGGTCCACCTCAGATTGCCCAGATAGCCCAGCAGTGCCATGGCAGCCACACCCTCTGCCCGCGCCCCTCAGCATCAACTGTGCATGATGGGGTGTGATGGGAGATCTTGTCTACGCTGCCTGGCTGCCATGTCCTTGGCTGTGCTGCTCCGCGTGGGCCACACTCGGGGGTGACTCTCCTCCAGGGGGACTGCTGGTGAGGAGGGGGTCACAGTGGGAGGCAAGGCTGGGGCAACGGCACGTGCCATAGTTCACCACCACTGGTATATGACATACAATAATAGTATTAAATAGATTTACATCTAATTGCAGAAGTTGTCTCAAAGATTACGCTTTCATATGGGCTTCCAAGTGTCTCAACAAACTAGAAAGAGATTTTGAATATGAAATTTGCATTGCTGACTTCAAGGCCTAGCATGCTTTTATTAATGATTTTGGTCAGAACTGAGGAATCTGAGCTATGGAATCTTCAGAATGGTAGTCTTGACCAGATGACCAAAGCCTGGTTACTTTTTATATGTTTGTGACACACATTTAAAAAGGAGGGACTTAAATTCCCTGGTTGTGCTTATCCTTTTGAGGTTGTTAATCTGACCGTAAAAATAAACTAGTCTATGGCCAGCAGGGGCACTCAGGTGGTCCTTCATTCCCATTTCTCCAGAACTTGATTGTGAAACTGGTGACATGTTTCTCCTGCTATTTTAAATTAAGAAACGTGAACGTGTAGTATAAACTCTATAATACAGTATAGTTAAGAAAAAATAAGGAAACATTGAAAAAAATACCTGAATTCTAGGAAAAATAAAAAATCTCAATATTCTACCATCCCCTCTTTTCAATCTGAAAGCTTCTTTTTGTAAAAAAATAGAATTTGATTTTCCCCTATTGAAATAACAATTTTAAACCTTACTTTTTTGAAATTAGGAAACAAGAGCTCCCAGAAATTAGTATTAATTAGAACTTCTGGGTGAAGATTTTTGGTGGCCTATTGTTTAATTATTCACCAGTGACAAAACTGTTCAGATTTTTGCATCCCAATATCAGTAATATTCTAAGATAGAATTATTGTGTTACAATTTAGGAATGTCATATTTACAACTCTGCATGTGAACCATAAGATTTACATCTATTAGAATCAATTTGGCATCAGAGTTCAATTCTCTGTTAATCTGTGTATTTCCCAAATGTACTGAAACAACTCCCTAGTTTCTGTATTTTATTTGTAAACTAATTTTTCCATAAGAAAAAAAACCTTATATATATTTTACTTGAATATATACATTTTATATGTATTTCTTCTGAAATACATTTTTGTCTATTGTATTGTAAAAATCTGAATAGTGCAAACTTTGGGATATTTCAGTATTCCTGAGGTCCAACTACATATTTTGAAACACATAATTAATGTATAGTTAAGTGCACTAAAAACACACTGAATGGCATAAAAACAGACAATAAAGGTAGTAATTACGATGACATGTAGTTAGCAGATTATGATTTTTGTCTGGGAGAATTTTCTATGTCTTATTTGAAGCTGTTTATATTTCCTATTTGGTTGCAAACAAATAAAATAAATTTTAAAAGGTATTTATTCAGAATTTAAACAGTGATTTATATAACCCTGGAGGACTGGATGTAAATTATGGTGTACTTTACTACGGTGATTTTTCAGTGTCAGTTTCTATTGATGGAAGTCTGTGGAAAGTCACTGATAGCTGTAGAGTGAAGGAGCATATTGACATTCTGTGTTCTGGGGAAAAACATGAATCATATGATATTCTGGGGTATGTTAAAGGAAAATGATAACAATAATTATACTGAAGTATTAAAAAGATAGCTTTAAATGCTTTGAGTTATTAGATTGGTAAGGAAGACTGAATAGTAATAGCAGGAACAGATATTTTATTGCATCTCATGATACATAAAATATCTAAATATATTCACCCATGTTGTATGGCTGTACGGCATTCTATTCTTAATTCTATTCTACTCTACTCTGTTCTGTTCTATTCTATTGTTATCTAACTCTCTGTTCTGTGTGTTGAATATATTTGTTATGAATCAGAAATGTATGTTGATGCTTGTTTACGTTTCTCTATATTGAGGAATGTTGTGAAATGTATACTGTTTAAAATGCATCTTTTTTTAAAAAAAAATGTAAAACAGGACAGTAGGAGAATTTTTTTGTTTTACCATGGTAGCTCTCCTTGTTATAGCTTAATCTGCTGTGCTATAGAGAGACACAAGATCCCTGAAAGAATAAAGCTCTAAAAAGTAATTTCTTGTTGGATGTTGCTGCAGCCTCACTTGTTTCTGTATGACACTGCAGATGGCTAATATTGTTGCCACTGGGGATTTTGGCTGATTGCCTGTGGAGATGTAAGAGAGAGAAATATGAGCAGCTGGAATGGACTGTCCTTGTGTAAGCGTTCCAACCAGATGGCCATGTTACAAGTGCTTTCCAGAAGTCCTTGAACTGACGAAAAAGTCTGTTGGCATAAAATTTGCTTCCCCAATTGCTGTGACTTTGCTCTGCTATTGAATGTGAGACAAATTAAGGAAACCAGTAGATGGATTCCCCCAATCTTTCCCACCCTATCAAGCTTAACCTACTAACAGGACAACAACTATCAATCAGTCCTTAGCATGGGATGGGGCACATTAGGGCTAATGCAAGAGGATAATTGAAATGGCATCTTTAGTTTTTTTAATTGCATGTCACATTGCCCAACAGTCTGCAGGCAAGGAAGTATTTCATGTACATGACTGATCAGGCTGTTTCTTAACATGGTTTTATTGTGAAAGAAATATATGACTAAAACAGTGCCACTTACAAGTGCAAAGAACGCAAATTGAGGCAAAAGAGAGCTGTTAATAATGAGCAAGTGATATCCTTGACTTAATGTTGCCATAGAACAGCAGTGCCGGCAACAGTTCTGTTCTTATGGCAGTACTGGTGGCAAGTGGAAACAGCTTGTGGGTGGCCAAACAGTCAGAATGAAGTAGGTAAAATAGCAGTGCCCCCCACCCACTCATCAGAGTAATAACAGCATTTAAGGCCACATGAAACTATTCTCTGTGAGAAGTGGTAAACCAGTAATGTCCCCAATATTAACAGAACCAGCAATATATAAGTAGGAGAACCTGACTTTCTTTTTTAAATCAACCTCCTGTGTAGTTCTTCCAAAACAGTATTACAAGATTGCTACTCTTTCAGAGCCCCAAATCCATGTTTAAAAACAATCTAACACTCTTTTAAAATGATGCAAAACTCATGTTTATAAGGAACCTGAATAACACCTGACAAATATTTCAGAAATTCTCGGTCAACTGAAAGAGGGAAGTTCAGAGCTTGATGCTTTCTCTCTTCCTGTTTAACAACTACATGAAACCCCTGGATAAGTTCATGCATTAGTTTGGAGTCTGGCACCATAGGTATGCTGATAACACTCAATTATACAGTACATCCCAACCTGGGCCAGCCACATGATGCTGTCAATACAGGTAGTCCTGGACTTACCACCATTTGTTTAATGACATTTGAAGTTATGATGGTGCTAAAAAAAAGTGACTTACAATCAGTCCTTGCATTTATGACAGTTACAGGGTCCTGCAGTCATTGTGATCAAAATGTGGATATTTAGCAACTGGCCTGTATTGGTTGCACTGTCCTAAGGTCATATGATCACTATTTGTGACCATCCCAGCTGGCTTCTAACAAGCAAAATCAGTGGGTATGCCAGATTTGCTTAATGACCATAATGATTTGCTTAATGACTGCAGCAAAAAATATCTTATGGGGTTTAACTCATCCGCTTTGCTTAGTGACAGACCTTCGGTCCCAATTTTGGCCGTAAGATGAGGACTACCTATATCCAATGTAGGGGATTGTTCTAATTAGCTTCAGTTCAAGACCTCTTTAAGAATCACACAAGCCCATCTTTTGTTTCCCAGTGTATGATATTCCCCAAAGAATAGTTGACTGTGCTGTACCTAATGTAATTAAGTGTTTCAGATAATGGATTTTCCTTTACTTAAGAGCTCATTTAATTAACATTTTACCCTATTGGTATCTATGTTAAATAGAACATTGTAGAATGCAAGGACACTAATCTCACTGCTACTTCAAATTAAGGAGTGATACATGAAAGAACTGGAACAACCCTTTGGGGATAACAAATTACTGAATAAATTACATGAACGGCATCTTTTAGACTCTTTAAAGCAGTGGTTCTCAACCTGTGGGTCGGGACCCCATTTGGGGTCGAACGACCATTTCACGGGGGTCGCCAAACAAGGCTGTCCGCCATTTTCCCCCCCTTTTCTTTGGCCACGCCCCTGGCACCCAGTGATGTATAAGTGGTTGGGGGTCACCACAACATGGGGAACTGTATTATGGGGTCGCAGCATTAGAAAGGTTGAGAACCACTGCTTTAAAGGATTCATAGAGGGGGAAATAGGATTAATAGAGAAGAAGAGGGAACACTTAAAATACAGGGAAGAAAATCTAGACAGGCCTCTGTTTTATTGAATCTGGAGATTAGTCTCTGTAGTTATATTCTTTGTGGTTCGTAGTCTAGTTTCTGGTCTTGCAGTTTCCAATTTTATCATGTAAATATCTAGATGTCCATATGTCAGTGCAATAAATTATGTAATCCTTTCAAGTAATTTATTAGCAAATGAACATATTAGTAAACTCATCAAAGAGAATGATAAACAAAAAAAATACTGCAGTAGTTCTTTGAAAATGCTTTAGATCAGCCATTGTAACCCAATACAGGCAGACATACAGAAATTAAGCAAATCTATGTAAGAAACAGAAATTTTAAAAAGAGCATTTTAAAAAAATACTTTGTAAACATTGCATTGCTAAATTTAAAAAAATATAACCAGGAAATCCCTTAGGGAAGACTTTAGCAAAATGTAAACCTTATCTCTTTGATGCTTCTAAAGGGAGCAAGATTTTAGTGAAAGTGTCTGCCTTTCAATACGTTTTTGCAGATGATGTCTGTTTTATTTTCAAACATATTATTAGGAATACAATGAAAGAAAGACACAAACCATTCTTTAGGCATCAGCCTCATGTGGAAACCGTATCTGTAATATTTTGTTAGCCTCTCCTCCTCTATGATATCTCATAGAGGAAACACCATATCCTAAAACAGTGATTCTCAACCTTTCTAATGCCGTGACCCCATAATACAGTTCCCTATGTTGTGGTGACCCCCAAGTGGGTGTGGCCACCAATAAGAAGGATTAGGACAGCTAGGGAAAAGGGAAAAAATGGCAGACAGCATGGTTTGGCGACCCCCGTGAAATGGTCATTCGACCCCAAATGGGGTCCCGACCCACAGGTTGAGAACCACTGTCCTAAAATAAATAGATGTGATTCTCAGTATGAAATTTAATTTAGAAATAGGATAGATTTTACAGTCTTAGACAGCGCTGCCTTTAATGCTCCTGTACATTCTTAAAGACAAATTTCTTTCTTTTCTTATGCTACCTTTGGGCCTTGTCTACATATTTCTCTAACTTCTCTCCTATAGAAAAAAGGATAGCATGTATCATGCTTTGACTTATGCTACCATTTTGGAAATTCAGGCCATGATGACCTTTGATTCCAGGGACATATTGAATGCTGGACATACAATGGAAGAAGCTCAAGTTATATGTCAGAAGTAAGCACATAAAATGCAATAATTATGCAATTGGTACATAAGATGCTATTTTTTTTTCTTCTGTTCAATCATGTCCAATACTTGAAGACTGCCTCGACAAGTCCCTGAAGTTTTTTTGGCAAGGTTTTTCAGAAGTGGTTGTCACTGGCTTCTTCCTCGGGCCAAGAGTAAGTGACTGGCCAAGGTCATGCAGCTGAGTTTCTGTCCAAGGTGGGACTAGAATTCAGTTTCCCAGTTTCTAGCCTAGTGCCTTAATCACTATACTAAGCTGGCTCTCTAAGATGCTATTACAATAATGTTAATTGGAAATATATTTAAGAAGCCCAGTAGTCTTTTTTAGTAGCCTGCAAGTAGCATGTATATATACACGCTATTCTCTTTCACATAAACCTTATAATGCAAATTACAGGAAAGGGTTAGAAAAATGGTTAGCAAGTAAAATCAGGCAAGGAAGACAAAAAGGAAATATATGGTGGATCCATAAATCTCTTCTCTCCATCAGAACTTTGTAATATTTTCAAGTTATACTTTTTCAAATAAAAAAGAAGAGTTAGATTGGCGTAATAATTTAACCTTACCTGTATGCCCTGCAGGATCCTAAAGTGATTGGTTTGGGCACATTGTAGCCCCTATGTTGTAAAAACAACTAAGGGACAGTTGTACCCCAAGTCTGCTCAAGCTGTTTTAGGCAGGCTAGGATATCTAATTTAGCAATAGCTCTACAGGTCAAGGTATTCTTGCCCGCCTCCATCAACTAGGAGGTACACATAATTTATTGATAGGGTGTGCAAATAGCCTAAAATTTTGTTTTAATAGTTGAGTTCTGTTAAATTTAATATGGATATACAGTAGAAACAATTAATTAAACTCAGAGCTGGCTTGGTTAAAAGAGAAGATTTCCCCCCCCCTTTCATCCCCTTTCAGGTTAGCTTTTGAATCTTATGTCAGATTGATATAGGCAGCCCTCAACATACAACCAGTTGCTTAGTGACTATTCATACATATGGCAGAACCTCCCCCCAAATCTATTTCTGATCCAGTTTCAAAGTTGCAGTCACTGCAGTGCTCCCATAGTCATTCCTCCCTGCAACCAACTGCAGGGATGCGGCAGTGCCCCACCTCAGCTATCTCCCCCTGTCCGATACTGCCAGGTCCCCAAAGGTCTTGGGTCTGTTTTCCACCTCACCAGACTCCACACCTCCCCAACCTCCATCATTGCACACATACCTTTGGAAGATATCCAGATCTCACGTTAGAGAAGGAAAGCAGGCTGTTCTATCTTTCAGTGCCACTAGTGCATGTGGTTCCACTCCAAAAGCAGATACCATTTTTGGAGTAGCCACAATGAATTTCAGGAGACCCAGTGGGGGAGGGAGAATCAGGCCCAAGCTCTGCATAGACCCCAAAGGGCAAGAAGTAAACCCAGGGTGCCTCAGGGCTGAGGGGAAGCTTGGGAGGCTCAGGGGCAGATGGGCCTCACCCAGCATTAGATCTTCCAGGGAGTCCCCCCATTTCAGGGGCACCCTATGTTCTGCTTAATGACCAGCTTGGTTGCTTAACAACTGCATTGGGGGGGAGCAGGGATAGGGGTAGTTAAGTTAGGTTAACAACCATCATGATGTGTGACGATAATAGGCAACCTTCATTACAGTCATGAGTTGAAGACTACCTATATAACAGGTATAAAACTTACAAAGTAAAGAAAAGTAGCAAGAGTATTAAAGAGTGTCTTTCAAGAGTTTTGAAGAAAAAGATATGTAATTTTTTGATTTGAGAATAAATGTCTATGTGCTTTATTAAATACTAAATTCCAGTGAATTAAGTGGGTTTTACCTTCTAAGTAAACAGATACAGAATTAATATCTGAGGTTCATTTTCTCTACAGGAAAGGGGATTACAGACCTGTTAGCCGCCAGTATTTTAAACTAGGGTTCCTATTAGTACCAGTCATCATGTCTTACAGTTGTCGGAATTATAGATTCAATCAATTCAGAAAATATATTTCAATTTTAAGAAAAGTCAGAAATTCATGCATCCAATATTATGCATTCCAGAATGTGTGTCAATTATATTTCTGAATTATTTCCTTAACTGCAAATATACTTTAAATCTTCAGCTCCATAATTTTTCTTTAGGTTTCGGAAAAAGTCTTCTATAGCAGACTCTTTCAACAATTTAGTGTACAAAGACAATCTTGCTCAATTAACTGAAGGTAAACAAAAAGTTAGCACTCTGTTATATTACAGGTAGTCCTCGACTTACAACAGTTTGTTTAGTGACCATTCAAAGTTACAACGGCACTGAAAAAAGTGACCTATGATCCCTTTTCACACCTATGACCATTGTAGCATTACCCACAGTCCCATGAATCAAATTTGGATGCTTGGCAACTGATTCATATTTATGACGGTCACAGTGACCCGGGGTCATGCGATCCCCTTTTGTGAGCTTCTGACAAGAAAAGTCAATGGGGAAACCAGATTCACTTAATAACCATGTTAATAATTTAACAACCGCAGTGATTCACTTAGCAACTGTGGCAAGAAAAGTCGTAAAATGGGGCAAAACTCAACAAATTTCTACCTTAAACAACATAAGTTTTGGGCTCAGTTGTGGTTGTACCTCGAGGACTGCCTGTATTCTGTTGATATAACCGATGAATAAGTAGTGTAAGCTTCAGATGTTGCGTTATATGTCTATCTAAGTTTGGGAAACAGTTCCATAGCCTTTGTATTGTAGAAAGGATTTTATCTTTCTCTGGCCTCTTAGCATTTTTAAGTGGCAATAGGTGGTCCTTCAGTTTTTTGTCTGAAAAACACTTTTTACAACATTGATAATAATCACCTTATGTAGAGAAAATTTGAAATACTTCTTTTTTACTTTTCTAGAAGAAATCCATGCAGAAATTTGTTATGCTGAATGCTTGTTTCAGAGAGCAGCTCTTACAATCCTCCAGGTAAGGATGTTGTTTCAGGACCTGGTATTGTGAAGGCAGTCAGGGGAATCTGAGAGTGGCAAGTATGAATTTTTGTTTTAAATACTTACTTTATCGCTTATCTTTTTTATGATATTTTATATGCAATTAATACATAATTATTAAGGGAATCCCATGTTTTAGTTTATAAGATTCTTAAGTGGATTAGTTTAATAAAACAAAATTGGCGTTTGTTCATTTGTCTGGGCTAGTGGTTTTTTTTTTCATTGTGATGCCTCCCTCCCTGCCAAGGTATACAGCACAGTTGCCCATTGTGCTGCTGTACTGCTTGCCTCTCTGTTCAAATATGTTCTTTCTTTGCATCTCTCTTTTGTTTGCAAGAGATAAGGAAATGACACTGAGGGAGTATATAGGAAAGACATGTATTCGAGATGTAAGAGGGAAAGAGGAAAGACCATTATTGTTTTTTGTAGGTTTGGGGGGAAATTAGATAATAACTGTAGCTGAGAAGAAAATAAACCATTATTATTATGGATGCAGAAAGTTGTGTGTGTGTGAGAGAGAGGGGGGAGGGAGGAAATCTTGTATTTATTAATTGATATTAATAAATTGTATTTCTTAGCTTACTCTAAAGCCCATGACCATAAATTATGTTCTTACTCTATAGTTTAAATTTAGTAGGGAAATTTGCTGAAGCCATATAATGCTTAGACTGACGGCCTATTTGTGTGTGTGTTTTTAATGATAACTTATTTGAATGAATTGGGTATTTTCTTAGTATATTTTAGTATATTTTAGCAAGGAACAATTCAACTTCCTGCTAATATATCAAATTTATCAAAAAATGAGATTGGTAACTCTCATAGTGTGCTTTCAAAATAGCTAAATAGTGGATTTTTTTTATTACAGTTTATTACTGAGTTTTAGCAATTTACCAAATAATTATCTCATAATTAGTCACTGTCCATCTGAAGCAAGAGTATTTAATTGACTAATAAACTGAAATAGACAATCTATTCTATTTTTCTTAGGGTGAAAACATAATTAGCTTTGTGAAAGGCAGCATCAAAATAAGAAATAGTTATCAAACATACAGGTATGTGGTATTTGAAATTATTTGATAATTATATTTTTGCAGTGACAACTGTATTTACTCTAGATCAGAGGTGTCAAACTGCCAGCCCATGGGCCGGATGCTTCATGACAAAACTGTGCCCACCCCACTGCTGGCAGTGGAAAAAAAGTCACGATACATCACGACACGTCATGTGATCTTGCGAGTTTGACACCCCTGCTCTAGATAGTTCTGAAAAGCAAATGTTTAAGGTAGAGCAGATCAGGAAACATACTCCACAGGACTTATGACCACAATTGGGATCAGAATTTCAGTTGTTTATTGATTTGGGCGTTACATGAATCGTCAGATGTCTGGATCTGACGTTTACCATGGTTGTTAAGGGAATCAGACTGTCTTTCTAAGTGAATCTGACTTCCCCAATTTACTTATGATCACATAACCCTAAGATACTGCAACTGTTATAAATGGAAGCTGGTTGCCAAGCGCCTAAACTGAGATTATGTGACTGCAGGCATGATGTGACAATCATAACTTTACAGATGGGTTGTAACTCACTTTTCTGAGGCTGTCTTCACCTTGAACTGGTGTTAAATGAATTATCATAAGTTGAGGACTATCTGTGCTGTTAATTTCTTTTCTTTTCTTTTTATTTAATGTGTTTAAAGTACAATCTTTTATTCTAGAATTCTCACTAGACTTACAACACTTAATAAATACAGTAAAACGATCTGAAAAATATAGCAATGAAACAAAAGCTGTTAAGGTAGAAAAAGTTGATGCAATCAAAATCACAATTAAAAATCATCATTTGCAGAGCCATTGCTTCTTCTCCATCATGTGGATAAATAGGCTAGTCAGGCCCAGATCAACGAACTTCAAGACCTTCCCAGACTTCTGTGTCTTCTTTCTAAATGTTCAGTATTGGAAAGAGCAACTACATAGGCTAGTCAAAATTATCATTAGAACTTCTGTTTCCAAGCTTAGAGTGACAGTAATTACATTTTCAGGCTTGAAGGGAAATCTGAGAGGCCTCATGGAATGCTGTCTCAGGAAGCATTAGTATAAAAATACTAAAAATACTTTAAGTATGCTTAAAAGTGTGTGAAGTCCTCTTCCCACCTTTGTGGAAGGGATTTTCATATTGTGGAGCTCAGTGGTGGGATTAAAAAATGTGAACAACCGGTTCTCTGTGTGGATGCCGCTTCCGGAAGTCTATTCTGGGCCTGGGCAACAAAAAAAATTAGCTACCAGTTCTGCCAAACTGGTGTGAACTGGCTGAATCCCACCACTGGTGGAGCTCCTCCCAAAAAGTCCAAATGTGGATCGTGCTTATTTACAAATAACGTCAGGTTTTTCTCATGTCCCTGGGCTAATAATCGTTGCTTAAATTTGGTGAGCTCACCAAAACAGCTGCTATAGGAAGTTTTTTCATTCACAAAATGGTAACATGACATCTACCAAGCAAAATAGTTAATATTTCACCTTCTAAATAATGCATTGGCCTGTAGCTGTTCTCACTGTTATTTTCAGCGAATGCTTTTGGGGACCCTGTGAAAATGAAAAACATGCTAGAGGCTGACACTTAGGTTTGCAACACCCTAGCTTCCAATTCATGTTAAAATTGAAATACTGTACTCTATTCACTTTCTAAAAATCAGATGACATAGGAAACCATGTAGGTGCCAAGGAAGATGTCTCTTTGCTTATTGGTGACACATGCACCATGTTTGACACCCAAAATTAATTATTACTAGTAGCCCTTAATAATTACAGTATGTGAAAATGTTGTATATTGCTTTTATTTTTCTGCTTAAAATTTGTTTAAAATTAGATATTTGGTTTTGTTAGGGTCCTGGAGAATTTAATACGGTCTCCCAATTATGTCAAAGGAGAAAATCACCTCCATTTTGAAGTTGGTGTAAAGTTGGGAGTTGGAGCATTTAATCTGGTATGTACTGAAGTTCTAATAAATATTTAAATAGATTGATTTTAACTTTGTGCCAATTATTCTGATACTAATATGTAGAGCACCAGCAAATAGTCCTTCAGGGCAATGGCAATGGGTCTTTCATGTGAGCACTTTATTTTGAAATTGTCCCATCACAGATATGCAATATTATGAGAGTGAAGGTTTGTTTTCCAAGCTTGTGGGCTGGTTTCCAAACGTTTCATTACCAGGCTAGGTAACGTCTTCAGCGGAGTTTAGGGGATGTCTGTGTTAGTGGTCTTCTGCTTATAAGGGCTTCAGGTGTGGGTGAAGCTTATAAATGGAAGAACACTGACACTGAGATCCCTTAAACTCTGCTGAAGATGTTACCTAGCCTGGTAATGAAACGTTCGGTGAACCAACCCACAAGCTCGGAGAACGAACCTTCACCCTCATCCTATACCTGAGCTACAGATATTCACCACTATTGCATATGTAACTCATGTCAAAAATATATCAGATTGTTATAAATGCTCCTGCATTAAAGAACATATACAGCTGAACAACATAAGCTTCAAACTGAACTTGAATACTTTTCCAAAATCCATTCAAGCTATTCCATTATAAAAAAAAGTTATCAATAATTGCCATAGTTCATAGGCAGCATTCTGTATACTTGGAGGAAGGGTAGCTTTCAATTCCAAGTTTCACACAGGAAGGAAACTTCAATTATAAATGCTTTAGGTTTTTTTTAGAATTTTTAGCTTCATCAGCTGTCTCCTAAAACTCCTTAATTCGCTTAGATCTAGATAAATATTTTTATTTGAAAGTTTAAAAGCTTGAAGAAAAATAATGCCTCTGTGAAGAAATTAACTTCCACAGTATATTTTTTCCATGCTCTTTATGAAGCATATAGTATAGATAGGTATTCTCAGGTTACATGCTGTTGCTATAGACCTAGTAAGGAAACTGCTTTATTAGCCAGTACTCGTGATACTATTGGTATTGGCCAGGGGTAGGCAACCTTGGCTCTTTTATGACTCGTGGGCTTCAACTCCCAGAATTCCTGAGCATGACTCAGGAATTCTGGGAGTTGAAGTCCACGAGTCATAAAAGAGCCAAGGTTGCCTACCCCTGGTATTGGCCATATAGAATCTTGGAGCGCATCAGTTAACAGCTGCAAAATTGTCAAATGTTGTCATTGTTATAGAGACCCAATTGTTCTTTTCATGTTGTCTCTATAACACATCCTGTTATTTTCTCTATATGCTTCATCTGTGAAATTCTTTCACTACAGTGCTTGACGGGTAATGCTGAATCTTAAAATCTTTCGGTTCCTCTACTAAGCAGTCCTGTGTGGGAGAGTATACTAGGCTTCCTCACAAAGCATGCTCTCTTAAAAGAGTTTATCTCATTTACTACTAAATTTATTACCCATCTTTTTGTTTCAAGATTACTTGTAACTTCTTCGGTTCCAACTGCTTTGAAGCCAAACAGTCTCCCTGAGATGACACTGAGTGGTAACAGGAAATGAGGGTTCCTTGGTGCTCTCTGAGCTTGCCTGTTTTCTTGCAGACGTTTCATTACCCTAACTAGGTAACATCATCAGGACTGGCACTGATGATGTTACCGAATTTGGGTAATGAAATGTCTGCAAGAAAACAAGCAAGCTCAGAGAGCACCAAGGAGCCCTCATTTCAACCCTGAGCTACAAATATTCTCCTTCATTGGTAAAAGGAAATTTTCATACAAGCAGCCCTTGGCTTAATGACTGGCCACTTAGCAACCTTTTGAAGTGATGAGGGATCCTCAAAAAATTACTTATGACCCATTTTTGAAGTTCTCAAGTTAGCCCCCCTCCCACAACAGTAACTTGGTCATACTTTGTGCCTCAGCAACCAGCCCATATTTATAGCTGTTTGTACTGTCCTGTAGTCACGTGACTGCAATTTATGTTTCTTTTGCTGGAAACTGGTATTTACCTCCAGTTTCTGGCAAAACCCGCCCCCTTGTTAAAATTCGTTCAATTAATGACCACGTTATTAAGCAAACATCGCAGTATTCACTTAACAAGCACCACAAAAAGTCATAAAAATCAGATCTGGTCATATGGTGACCTGTTTTATAAATGTAATTATGGGACTAAATTGTGATCATAAGTCAAGCTCTACTTGTGCTGTATTTAAAGAGCAGGAAGATGAAGTTGACTTCAGTGGATATGAACTACAGTGTAATGGAAAGACTTTTAAGTTCTTTTATTAATGAAGAACTTCTATAAAATTTAGTGAGGGCAAGCTGTTTCTTTTTCTTTCTTTCTCCCACCCGCTCCAGACTCTATCTATGTTGCCAACAAGGATCGCACGATTACTGGAATTTGTTGGGTTTTCTGGAAATAAGGCAAGTGTTTAGTTTAATCTGCAACACATTAGTGACAAAGAGTATAGGTAGTCTTTGACTTACAACAGTTCATTCAATGACATTCAAAGTTACAACGGTATCCCCATGGTCACGTGATCAAAATTAAGATGCTTGGCAACTGAAATAAATATGACAGTTGCAGTGTCCCAGGGTCATGTGATCACCTCCTGACAAGCAAGACCAATAGGGAAGTCAGATTCACTTAATAATTGTGTTGCTAACAATTACAATGATTCACTTAACTCTGGCAAGAAAGGTCATAAAATAAGGCAAAACTCACTTAACAACTGTCTCTCACAGTAACAGGAATGTTGGACATAATTGTGTTTGTAAGTTGAGGACTACCTGTGCTTCATATATTATTGTTTGTAAGAGGTACAGTACATGCGACAAGACTGTATTTGTTACTGCTTATATTTTACAGATGCAAATGGCAGATCCCTCTTGCATGCATCTTCCCATGGTTTTTAATCCTTGCTCTGTGGATGGGCATATCAAAGGATGGGGCCACAAGATACTTAAGGCATCGGGAGTGCCATTTTTTTAGCCTAGTGATAGAATAAATACATAATAAATGCAACGCTGCTATAGCTCCAGTTTTATTCCCTCCAAAAGCCTGCCATAAATTGAATGCATTTAATAATATTTAGCTTTATCAAATGGCTATAGACTACATTTATTTTATGGATGAGAATCTGTTGTAGAAAGAGAAAGAAAAAGAGAGATGTATCCAAATAACTCAATAAATCCTAACAGGAAATTGAATTTTAATCCTTAATCCAAGTTTGCATTAATTGCCTGGGATTCTTACCTCAAAACGTAATTAACTAATGTAAGAATTGCAGTTCCTGGTTTTAGAAGAGGGAAATTCTATTTATGATGAAAGGAGAAGGTGTATTTTTGGAATTATAGTGAAAAGAACCTCTATAAATAGTGAGCAGGTATATTCTCAAATCAAGAAACTGGTTGCTAAATTATTATAATTAATCTTTAGATAATCTATTATTCAGCTTATTTCTGCCACTCAGTATCTGTTCTTCCACCCTAAGTTCCTCATGCTGCTCTTCTTCTGTGGCATTCCAGTATTTCCTATGCTTGTTTTCTGTGTATCTTCAGATTTTATTCATGGTGGATTCTCACATGGAAACATGTAGGGGAGATTTTTTAAAAAGTGAATCTAACCAATATGCATAGACAAAACGCTATTTAGAGATTAAAGTTATAATTAAATATAGCTTATATTATATTATATGCCTGGAAGATTGATATGAAATGTTTCTTCAGTTCTTCTGGATTGTTCTAATGTTGACTTTTGCTTCTTTGAGAAGCAATTTTTAAGGGTTTTTGTTGTTACATTTTTTGTTCCAGTTTGCTTACATTATCATTTTTTAAAAAATACTGAAATAACATTAATACCAAAAAGACATTTGTAATTAAGACCCCTTCTAAAGAAATCGAGTCTGACACTAGAGCTTTTCGTCATTAATATCCCATCAGAAAAAATAAGCCAATAAAATAAACATTTGCTACAATAGCTTATGCGTAAACATTATAGGACAACGATTGCATAAATGTAACGGATCATGATTTAGCAATTTTTTGCAGTCACATGCCTACAGTAAAAAGACAGCATGACTTTGTCTATATGTAAGACAGATTGTGTGCAAACACTACTTTGTTCATATGGTATTTCACAAAAGAAATGACTAATTACAACATTAACATTTAGGACAACTTATAATGGTTGGTATTTCCTCTCAGGCTAGCTGTGTAAGCCATCTAATTAACTGATGCAGGTCTGATATACTGAGAAATACTAATCTTTTGGTTTCCTTGCAGTAGAACAGACAAGGCAAGCTAAGATGTGATCAATTTGTAACCCTTTATCTGTGTTGCAGAAATATGGCTTGCAGCAACTTCAAGAAGGAGCATCAATGTGTGGCTTTAGATCTGTGCTATGTACTCTGCTACTGTTGTGCTATTATACGTTCCTGACCTTTGTGCTAGGTAGGATTTCCTTTTTTCTCTAAACCTGACTTTTTAAAATAATCCGATATAGGAAAGATTCAGGTTCACTGCAAACTTTATTTTAACTTTATTTTAACGAATTAACCATTTGAAAATAATTCTGAATTCTTCAGGTGTGATTGGTTGGTTCTTCACAATGTCCTTATCTTCAGGGAGTACAAGCCACTTTTAAATGGGTATAGTTTTTTAAATTCATTGAATTTGTATAGCTGCACTGAAATGATTTGAAGCATGAAATACTGTTAGAATTAAAGAACATTAAATATAGGTAGTACTTTTAGTGACCATTTGAAATTACAACAGCACTGAAAAAAGTGACTTATGACCGTTTTTCACACTTACAACCATTGCAGCATCCCCATGGTCATGGCACATTGAATATTGTTTTAATGATTTGTTGTTACAGTTTTTTTCATTTTTGTTTTGGATTTGTTTTTGTTTTTAAATGTACTGTTAGTTACCCAGAGCTGTGCAAAACAAACTAGGTATCTCTATAAATTGTTAAATAAATAAAGTACTGTGTTTCCCCGAAAGTAAGGCCTACACCAACAATAAGCCCTAGCTTGATTTTGGGGGGTGGGCCTAATATAAGCCCTATCCCAAAAATAAGCCCTAGTTTTGGGGTGAGGCACACACCTAAAAATCAAGCCCGCACCCACTTACCTTGCAGCTAGGCCTCTCCTTGCCGGCCACTTCTTCTGAGGCCTCTTCTGCAGCCAGGCCTATATTTCTCAGTCACAGGGTTTTCCAGAAAGCCTGTGCAACCAAGAACTGAGCTATGGATTCAATGTACAGCTTGGTTTTGCAAGACCTCAGCAGCCGAGCACCAAGCTATGGATTGAATCCATAGCTTGGTACTTGGCTGCTTAGGCCTTCTGGAAAGGCCTTACTGCAAAATGCAGGCCCAAATGCAGCTGCAGAACTTCAGCCCCAAAAGAAGTGGACGGCTGGGTGGGGCTGTTAGTGCCGGACATGAGGTAGGGCTTACCCGGAAAATGAGACCTGGTTCCTCTTTTGGAGGCAAAAAAAAAAAAGACCCAGTCTTATTTTCAGGGAAACACGGTATTTGTGAAAAGAGCAAGCCCTTTCATTTGTTTATACAAATCCAATAAAAGGAGTCTTACCATATTACATCATTTACTGTTTCATTTTTATAATTCAGCCAGACTCAGGCTACCAATTTTTCTTCAGTTTATTTTACTTTTCCCCCCCCCAATTAATGCAGGGACAGGTAAAGGAAATGTTGAAGAAGCAGAGAAACTTCTCAAACCTTACCTGACTCAATATCCAAAAGTAAGATAAATCGTGAGTTGATCTACCAAATACTGTTATGCAGTGCCTCATTTTTTAAAAATTGCACAAAAACTAATGTTTTCTCTTGGATTTCTTCCAGGGTGCCATATTCCTGTTTTTTGCAGGGAGAATAGAAACAATAAGAGGCAATATTGATGGAGTGAGTAATCTGCCTTTCTTTCCTTCCCATGCTATTATTTCAGTTTAAGAAAAAAAAATTATGATCACAAGAAGAAGTGGAGTGTAAGATAATTTCCTTAGTGGATTAAGGGGACTGTTAATTTTGAGCCGCTGTACATGAGGCCTAATAGTTGGCATGCTGGCTAGTTGGAGTCTTTTAAGGACTCTAAACATAGAGACTGTGGGAGGGGGCTGTGAATTATGGGAAGAGGAAGTTAGGGATTTCTTTGTTCTCAGAGAGTCCTGATTGGATGCCTTGTGGAAGCAGACAGCCTAAGAAAATAGATTTCATACAACTGAGTTGAGGATTCAGTCCCAAAATCTTGGGAGAAAGAAACCAAGGTAAAAGATAGGAAACCAAGGTAAAAGAAAGTAAAATTAGCAGTGAAAATACAGATAGGCATTACACAAAGAATACACATGGGGTTCTTTATTTATTTCTCTTATTATTTCCATCAGTTGTGAGTAATTGTGATTAAATTATTTTTTCAAATGCTTATTTTATTACTTGTATTATAATAAAAACCCTGTTCAAAGATGTTAGGAGTAAATGGTTGATTTAAGATTTAAGAAATACAGGTTCAAAATGCCACTTGGTTATGAAGTAATCTTAGACTAATCCCTTTCCTTCAATTTAGCCTCCCTTACAAGATCACAGTAAAGATAAAGGGAGCATGCTGAAAAACTATATATGTATATTACCCTGAATTGCTGGGAGGATCAGTGGAATAAATTTAAAAAGCAATCAATAAATAATGTGTTGTAAGGGAAATGATTAATACCATGAATTTTCTCTGTATTGTTTTTCCACACAGTTATTTTCTCAGTAATTGTTTCAGGATATTAGTATTAGTTTCTTAGACTAATGAATGTTTGGAACACGTGTTTTAAAGTTATATTAATATCCAGTCGGGCTTATTTTTGTTTTTTCAGGCCATCAGAAGGTTTGAGGAATGTTGTGAAGCCCAGCAGCTTTGGAAGCAGTTCCATCACATGTGCTACTGGGAACTGATGTGGTGCTTCACATATAAACGCCAGTGGAAGATGGCATATTTCTACGCAGATCTGCTTAGCAAAGAGAACAACTGGTCAAAGGTGAATTAAAAACAATGATGCGGGTAGGGTTACAGATAGTCCTTGAATTACAATCATTTGTTTAGCAACTGCTTGAAGTTACAATAACATTGAAAAAAGTGATTTATAACCAGTCCTCACACTTACAACCACTGTCACATCCCCATAGTGATCTGATCAGAATTCAGAATGTATGACGGTTGCAACATCCTGGGGTCATGTGATCACTATTTGCGACATTCCTAACCAGCTACCTACAAGCAAAGTCAATGGGGGAAGTCGAATTCACTTAACTATAGTGTGATTCACTTAACTATAGTGATTTGCTTAATAACCATGGCAAAAAAGTTCATAAAATTGTCTTAAGTCACTTGTCAACTGCCTTGCTTATCTAGAGGAATTATGGTCCCAACTTCAGTGATTCACTTAACAACTGTGGCAAGAAAAGTTGTAAAATAGGACAAAACTCACTTAACAACTGTTTTGCTTAATAACAGAAATTTTGGACTCAAATTGTGGTCCTGAGTCGACTACCCATATACCTTAATATGATGTATGAACCCAGTCAGTGAATGGATAGTTTCAGAGTTTGTGCCTAACTGGATAAGAACCCTTTTTATTTCATACTGATCAGATATATTTTTATTCCCATGAAAGTATAGTTGATAATTGTCTTCCCACAAATACAAATGAGCTTTTTTCCTTAGGTTTGAGGAATCGGAATTAAAATCTGCCAATGAAGAGTATTATTTTTGGGGGGGACTGTGCGACAACATGTGATTACTTCTATTTTAAAGTGACCAGATAATCCACTTAAATTTGAATCCTCCCTGGCATAAATTTTAGAACTGGCTATATAGGAATTACATTTTACTCTTTTCCAGGGGTTTTTAGTTTTCCCTTTTAAAAATAGCAAGCCCATTATGATTTCTTTAAATTAGTCTTTCTCCACATGGGCATCCTTCTCCCACTCTTAAGTGCAATGTTTGATGAGACTGTGTAAATGTTTTAGTCATAAGTTCTGCAATGGAAGTCTGTGTAGATAAAGGCCAAAATTTTATCAATTACTGTAAGGAGAGGACCCAGGAATAACACACAGGTAGAATAGCTATGTAAAAAAGTAGTGCTGTTATGGTCCTTTTTTGTGTTTTTAAGCATATGAATTCACACCAACATTAAGAGAACAAAGGTAACTAAGTAGAAGAAGAAATGGGCAGGGGGCAGAACTGATGCAAATTCCTTTTTAATAAATTATATAACTATTCATCTGTGTATCACGTCCTTGGCAAATAATTATGAATGAGTCCTTATGAAAACAGCCCATTATAATGTTGCATTAGGTATTATATTGTTAAGGAAGTTATTATGTTCTTTTACAGAACTCTGAAAAATTCTGAGGTGTAATTCATTTGCTCACAAATCAGCTCTGTGTAATTTTATATTTTCTTGCTGACAAGAACAGTTATTTTCCCATTACTAGAAAATAAAGCACTTTCTGCTCCTTTCTGGCTTCAACATTATTGATCTGTAAGTTGTATTGCAGATGATCATGAATATATCTCAAAAGTATTGTTTTTTTTTTAGGCTACTTATGTATTTATGAAAGCTGCCTACCTCAGCATGTTTGGGCCAAAAGATTATAAACCTTTTGGAGACAATGAAGTTGAGCTATTTAGGTAAGATTTTTAAAAACAAAATAGATGTCAGAATGGAAGATAATGATTGACAATGAGAGAAGAAAAACTTCTTTCATTCAAATCACATTTTAAAGCTAAAGTTGTCATTTTATGTACTTGTGTGAATTTTATATTTATGTCATCTTTAAAGATAAGGGAGATCTAATGGAATATTTTATTCATGGCTATGAGTTGAATTTTGTCAGAATTATTCAGGAAAGGGTATATGTTCTTCTGCTGATAATCATATACTTGCGCTAATGTTGGTAATTTCTGAGCTAAGAGAACAGCATTTTCCTAAGACAGGAACAATTTCTATCTGGATCACTCCCCCCATTGTCAGCCTAAAATCTCCCTGGAATGCCATTCATTGTACCTCTTCAGATTCTTCCAATCTCTAGATGGAATTTGGTTGTCTGTAGCACAAAATCTTTTATTGTATAATATAGAAATAATATCATTTTTTTCTGTTCTGTTTTGACTTCTCCTGTCTTTCCTTTTTTTTAGTTTTTAGAAGATTACAGTTATCATACAGGAAATCATTTAAGTGTATATCTCTGTTTTTTCCCCCAGGGCTGTGCCTAGTCTGAAATTGAAAATAGCAGGGAAATCCTTGCCTACCGAAAAGTTTGCAATTCGGAAATCCCGGAGGTACCTTTCCCCAAATCCTGTTCCACTTCCTGTGCCTGTTTTGGTAAGCTGGAAAAGATCCCTCCTCCACATCTGTTTCTTATATATAGTCATACTAGACTATGAATGTTATAAAGATTGATTTGAATATGTTCATAGACCAGAACATTGTGTACAAATTCTCCTGATATTTCTTTTGATGATGCTGGAGATAAACACTCCATGAGGATTCAAACCTGCTTTTATCACTGCATGAATAAAACCCTTTATGTGTGCATCTCTGAATAGCCGGTATGCTTTGTTTTGCTTACCATAAACAAAAGGAGTAGATTATATGAACCAACCTTTCCCAAGCAGGTATCATCCAGTGCGTTGGACATACTGAGGATGAATTATAATGTTGAAGTCCATCACAGCTGGAGAGAGTCACATTGGAAAAATCAGATGTGGACAATAGCATATGCACAGATGTATGAGTCCACTTAACCAATTATACATATATGAGAAAGAAGTACAAAATAACAATAAAGTCTGTAAATCAAGCCAATCAATGATTCATGCTGGATACCTATTAACTATAAGGGTTTTGTATATAGAGATCCATAGTGCAAATGGAGAAAACTATAGATGGAAAGTATTTCTGAAAAAGTCACATTTATAGTGCGCAAATAGATGTGTATCTCTTTGTTTCAGAAAATGAAATTCTTAATTGACTTTTTGCCTCATTTATGGCTGATAATCTTTTTTTTTTTTTTGTCTTTGTTGGTGGAACAGCATAACAAGAGCACCAGATGGTGCTCACTAATAATGAAACTGTAATCCGAGGAATTAGAAATTGGAATTGCACTATTTATAGTAGGCTGTTAATAATTAACTGCAGCACCAGGCCAATTTTTATTCTGGTGGAAAGGTCCTTATTACCAAGCGTATAGAAGAAAGTGTCTTTTATATTGTGGTTCTGTTCCTTCAAATTCATGGCTAACTGATACTGACACAGAAAGGACTTTTGGGAAAGAATGGCTAACTGGAAACAGCTCCAGTAAGAGCAGATCCAACAACTATTGTGGAATGCAGAGCCAGTAAGTTGACCAGGTCTTCGTAACTCTTCTCCAGAGAAGAAGTCTTGAGATCACGTACAAGTGCTCCAGACAATTGCTTCTCATTGATAAAAAAGAATATTTGTAACTCAGGGTTCAAATAAGGGGTCCTTGGTACTCTCTGAGTTTGGATGTTTTCTTGCAAATGTTTCATTACCAAACTAGGTAATATCATCAGTGCACAGTTGCTCTTCAATAGGACAACACAAGACAGTAGTCTCTGGTGAATTAAGAACTCTGGGAGACAAGGGAAAGCCCTTTTCGCTCAAATGATGGTCAGTGCATTTGTGGATACTGGGTTCACATACTTCTTTTTCTAATCACTTTCAGAAGTTGGTTATTAACTGCTTTTTAGTTATTAGGAATCTTTGGATTTACAAGTCTGAAAATACTGGGTGAGCTTCTTCTAATTTTTTTAAGAAAAAGCAAAAACATGATTAGAAATTTGATTGTGAAAAATTACAAATGAACTAAGGATCCAGATGGATTTGAAGTAAGATTTTGAAATTAATTATAAGAGTCCTTCCTGTGGAAAAAAGCTTTTGTTTTGAATTATTAAAAAAAAATCATGAGGTAAGACTTTGAAGGTTAGACACCAGAGAAAACCAGAAGGAAGTAAACACTACAATTAAAGGAGAAAGCCACTTAAATTTGACTTAGTAATACAGAATGAAGAAAAATATTTGAACATTGTATGTATTGAAGGGTATTTTTGAACAATGGACCCAGAAGCTAATTTTAAGAGTGTCTGCCTCTATAGATAGTTTTTAAAGATGTTATGGAAGAACAAGTTTTGGCTGACAAAAATGATATGAAAAAAGATGCTATGCTGGACATACAACTGAAATAGACTGGTATCTTAGTAATTAAAAGGGATATACAAATAAGAAACCTAAGTAGTTAACTGGATTTATTTATATTGGATTTGAAAAAAGAGGCTTGCTAAAGCTTTAAAGAATTTTGTGAGAAGAGGCAATGAAAAGAACTCATGTTCTAGAACATTATTTGAAAGGACTAAAGATCAAGATTGTTAAAAAGTAAAAGGAAGGAATATAGTGTTGTTTTGTTTGATCAAGGTTAAAATAGACATTTAGACTTTTGCTGCAGAAGCACTTCAAGAGAATCAGTGATTTGATAATAGTTGTCACATGGCTCAGCTCCATAGGTCTCTTAGGCCAAGGCTTTTCAACCAGTGATACGGGTACCACCTGTGGTACATTGGCACCTGGCAGGTGGTACGCAACCATCCTAAAAAAGTTGTAGCAGGGGAGGGGAATGAGCTGAATCGGTGGCAGCACCGCACAAGGCTGAACGAGAGATGACTGGAGCTGCAGGGCTGTCAGGGCTCAGCAGAAGCATCAGGATCAGCACTTCTTCGGGACTGTCAGGGCTCAGTGGAAGTGCCAGGATCAGCGCTAGGCTCCAGCTGGAGCTTGGCACTGATCCTGGTGCTTCTGCTGAGCCCTGAAGAAGCAAGCACCAATCAGCTGGAAAGCAACACTGATCCTGACACTTCTGCTGAGCCCAGAAGAAGCGCCGATCAGCTGGAATGTTGCAGCATCTCCAGGGTCTTGTGATTTACCTTCAGATGCTTGGCAACTGATTCATATTTATGACAGTCACAGTGCCCCAGGGTCATGTGAAGTAACCAAAACCTGCTGCAACCACCCAGCAGATGGGGGGAATAAAAACCAAACACCCCCACCCCCGCTGCCAGTCCTCAACAGAAATGCTCACAACAATGAAAACCTCAGACAGGAGGAAGAGCGCCGCCAGGTGGGCAGGCAGGTGTCTTGCTCAGCTGTGGCTTGGGGGGCACTTTTTTCAGTGCCATTGTAACTTCGAACTGTCACTAAGCGAACTGTTGTAAGTCGAGGACTACCTGTACTTCATCAGTTTTTTCCTTTTTTTTTTGGTCATCAAGTTTTTGACACCTTGCTAGGCGACTGGTGGTACTTGGATACTGCTATATCCTAAAAGTGGTACAATGGGTAAAAAGATTGAAAAGCCCTGCCTTAGAACAGAGGTCCCCAACCTTTGGAGCACCAGGGACTGGTTCCATGGAGAGAGTTTTTTCTGTGGAGTGGAGGGGGTGTGGTTTAATGTACTGCCTGCATCCCGCGGATGGGGCTTTGCTCGTTTGCATGGACCTGTTTCTGGCATGCTGCGGCCCAGTGCCGGTTGACAGACCGGGGTTGGGGACCCCTGCCCTAGAAGGTGACATGGGCCGCTTTTGTTTTAGTCTTTTAAGGTAGATTAATAGTTGAAATAAATTATTTCAAATTAACATTTTTTCAAAGATCTGGGAAAATAACAACATACTACCAGTGAGGCAGACAATGTGTAGATCAAGAATTGTTGGTTGGCAGAGTTTTGCCAGAAGTTAGCAAAAAAAAAATTCTGTCACAATCTTCACAAAAATACTTCTCAAATATTTATCTGATGTACTCATATATTTTTGGAAGAAGTTTCTGCAATAACATACATTATATTTTAATAATTTTTAGGAAATGATGTACATCTGGAATGGTTATGCAGTGATTGGAAAGTGCCCAAATTTAACTGAAAACATGTTGGAGTCCTTAGCAGATGCAGAAACAATCCTGGAAAAAAGCCCAGGTAATCCAGATCTCGTGTCAGATGCATCCTTGCAGAGGGCACAGCCAATGAAAGAGATTGTGCTTGTCTTGGAGTTCTAGGAAGTTAAGAAGATTCACCCATTCTTCTGCAGTGATTAGACTAATTGTAAGATAGTAATGATAGTAGTAATGTTATCATTGCCGGCCTGGTTGCGAATAGGCCCTGTAATGGGCTGCGCCTCAGGAATTGGGGATCCCTGATCTAAAGGGCAAAATGAAGCTTAATTGCCCAAAAGGCTTTGGCCAATTAAGAGTGGAAATGAGAATAAAAGAGTCTTCCCACTCCAATTCCTAATCTTAACTTGGGGTATATTTGGAAGTGTTAAGAATGGTAATAGGAACAGACAGTTTCTGAGGAACAAATTAGGTTTTGATTTTGGAATAGCATGGGTGAATGTGGTCCACTGTTCACAGGTAGCTTCTAGTAGCTTAAAGTGTAAACATTGACTGGGTTTAAACACTTTTGTAAGTCAGAATTTACGTGTAAAATTTGCCTTCAGCTTCCATATGGAAAGTGAAAGTAGTTCACAGTCATTAAAAAAAATAGTGAAGAAACAAAAGAAAGTTGATTTTAAAATCCAGTAAGGGAGTTAGATCAGCCTTCAATCAGTCAATTAACTTTTAAAAATATGAATCATATAAAGAAACAAAAACTTTAAAATGTGCAGTTAAAAGCCATGACAGGCTTAAAAAACCCAAACAGGTAAGAGGAAAGATGGAGACCTGACTCCCTGACCTTTCCTACCAGGAATTGCAACTTCCAGGAATTTCCAGAAAGTTGTTTTAGGTCGTTCCAAGCTGCTCCGATTCAATCTAGGGATCCGGCTGCCAAGGAATCAGATTAGGCAGCAAAATCAGCTGTTGTCAGCAGGAGAAGCAAATCCCTCCACCGTTCAGCATCCCCCTTGGAAGAGGAACCCTGACTGAATTTAAACACTTTTGTAAATCAGAATTTCCTTAACTGTGGTCTGTTGAAAAATATATCTGAGTTTATACAATATACTAAACTTGAGCCAAGGAAATGCTATAATGATAATGTAGAGTTGTCAATTTATATAAACCCAGCCAGTGAGTTATATATGTTACCCAGCCAGTAACATAATGCATATGTTACTGACATAATAGCAAATTCTTCATGCTATCACAGAATTTATGGAGTCACTAATTCAAATAACTGGATATTATATCATTTAAATATTGTACAAGGATAGTTTGAATATGTGCTATCAATACTTATAATTAATTTCATAACTAATGTGTATGTTACAATATTAGGTGAGAATATTAAATATGTTTCACTATGTTCCTTGCATTAAAAAGTTGTCTTTTGTGATCCAAAATTGCCTGTGCATCTTTTTATTTTACAGCTACCGATATTCTCATTGATGACCATTGCGTGATAAAGCTTCTGAAAGGGCTATGCTTGAAATATCTTGGCAAGGTATCGGAAGCAGAAGATCACTTTACTTATATTCATTTCAAGTAAGTTTCTAAACTGGAAGATACTAATGAACACTAAAACAGGAACGGCTGCATTAAATTATCACAGCTTTCAACCAGAGTCTCTTCATGTCAGTTAATAATCTATGTATTTATATAGATATAATCTATATTTGTATAAGTTTTAACTGGTTTACAGATAAAATCAGGAGATGGGTTTTAGGAGAATATAAATTACTGTGGAAAGAATGTTGGTCATTTCCTGAGATGATTTATCTGGTAACTCGGTAGCTCCATCAGTCTGGGATAGTAGCTATCAGGGTAAAAAAAAAAGCTTAGTTTTAAAATAGCTAAAATGGCTTAAGCAAGTCATTATGTGACCAGACCTAATTTTATAATAATTTTGACTGCAGTTGTTAAGCAGTAAACAGTTAAACAAGTCACATACTCATTAAGTGAATCACATGGTTGTTAAGTGGATCAGCACACAGAAGTATTACCTAACTGGGTAATGAAATGTCTGCAACAAAGTAACCAAACTCAAAAAGCATCCATGACTCCATGTTTTAAGTTTTTCTCCACTTTCAATAGATCCATGCCGGTAAAAATGGTATCTAGGATGAATTTATCTTTCTTTCAACATTTAATAGGAAGACATATGATTATGCTGCATTATTTTAGCAAGGAGCCTATTCTATCCTGCACATTGAGGAGTTTTAAATGTTAAAAACCAGAAACATTACAAATATTTTTAATTTTAATATAACACGGGAAAGCATATGCTTAAAATGGACAGTTAAAAAAGGTAGATTTTATCCGATGCATCCATTTGTTTTTGTAGATATTACAAATGTTATGTTAAAGTGGAGATATTAGAGTGATTGCAAGAATAACTACAATGGACTTCTGGATGAAAGTGTACATAATCTGCTAACCTAAAATGCATGGAAACAACCTAAAATGCATGAATTTCCTCTTGTCAGAGTTCCTCTCTGAGTAACTTCACTTATTCTCGTCTGTAAAACTATTGTTATTCATTTCATGTACCTTGCCATTTCTCTCTTTTAAGTGAAAAGAAGATCAAGTATGATCATTACTTAATTCCAAATGCGCTGCTTGAACTTGCTTTATTATATCTGGATCAAGGTAAAATAGAAGAAGCAATTAAGATCCTGGAAAGAGCAAAGTAAGTTTGTTGAAGTATATTTTTTCATTATTAGTAGTAGATAAGGTGATGGGAAGAGTTAAAGTGGGTTTGTTGAAAAATTCTTAGAGGGGCTCCAATAACATATAGCTCTATCTTAACATGTAGGTTGCTTATTTTCAATCATTTTGGTATACAAACATTGAAAATATACAATTTACTTCAGTGATGGTTGAAGCATACATTTTTTATCTATTTATAAATTATACCCAAACTTATGTTTGTTTTTTAATCAAAGTTGTTAGACTTTGAGCAAATTGTGAATGTTTATGCTTGTGTGTGATATTGGCCTCATCTAGACAATTTGCAGTATAATTTTTTTTTTAAGGAGCATTTACGTTATGTATGTTGATCTCATAACTGAACAACTGAAGTATCTGTTCTTATTGGCAGAATCTCTGTTACAACTAGTTACAATTAGTTATAGAAATATTTTGCTGCAATCCAAAGAATGTTTACTTAATGATCCCAGTGTGTTCAATGGAACATGCTCCTAACTCTTACTATTATTTAAGACTGCAAATAGGATAGTCTAACAACAAAATCAAACTAGTTTAGCTACAATAATATTAAATTTACCTAATACAGTAGGCAGCAAGCCCACTTGATAATGGCAGATGATTTTTATATCTAAACAAATAAAGTTCAAGAAAGTATAAATAAATTTCAAACATGTTTATCTTACCTAATGTTTCTGAACTCTTGATACACCTCACAGGCAATATCAAAAATATAATAGTGAGAGACCCAGCCAGGAAAATGCAAAAAAGCTGAGGTATGGGAGAGTAATTCTAGGGGGCTACCATGTGGTTGTCATGGTGGTTGTCAACTCTTAGGCCACTCCAGATCCCTCACCAAAGACGGCAGATTGAAGATCCTAGCCGTTAGCTTGGGGAAATGTGCCACCATCCAGAGTTAGGCTGAACAGCTCTGGTAGGGACTGCACTGTGTACTTCCAAAACAGACTCTGTAAATATTGCTCTATTAAGTATAGATGATGATAAATGCTGTAGGTATGAACCTATCACAAATATCTGTTTGTTTTAGGCAAAATTACAAGAATTATTCCATGGAAACAAGGACACACTTCAGAATTCAAGCTGCTTTGCATCAAGCCAGATCTTTCCCAGATGATGATGATCATTCTATAGCAACTGTGGTTTTGTAATGTTATTGTTTTTTTAAATCAGTAGTTCATTTGTTGTACAAATCTTCACAGATGGATATTACCGGCAATATTTTAAAATGTTTTCCATGTTCACATTCAGCACAAATGTTTTTAATTTTAAAAATCCTGAGGAATCAACACTAAAAAGCAGTATTTCTTTAATTACCCTTGTATGCCATTTTCAGCTAGTTATAAGCATTTTGAAATATAGCTGTCAGAGAATAATACAACATAAACTAGTAGAAGTTTGAAGACTTTCTGCTCACACCTTGATCAGATTCAGATGGCTGTTAATTTTTAAAAGTACTAATTAAATGGATCTTGTTTTCTTGATAATAAAATAACTGTTAAATTGCTTATTTAAATAGAACAATGTGTAGTCCTACAAGCTTGCTTATCACAATTAAATAGTTGAAAAAAGTAGAACCTCCCTCCCACTTTTCAGCTGTTCTTTAATACAAGGGCCCCCAAACCTGGCAACTTTAAGACTTGTGGACTTCAACTCCCAGAATTCCCCAATCAACCATGCTTTAATTAATATGTAAGTTGTCCTGATGTGGCAAAAAAATCAAGCTGTGTAATATTGTTTTGCCAGTTTGACCAGTTACTAAGAATTTTAGGATAAATATTATTAGAATAATTGAAGAACTAGAGCAAACAATCCTGAACCAGTTTCTGGAACAAAACCCAAGTTTAAAGTATTTGAAAAGAATTAAATTATTAAAACTTTTAATATGCTATTACTTCATTTGTTGTTGTTGTTAATTGCGAAGTCATGTCCGACCCATCGCGACCCCATGGACAACGTTCCTCCAGGTCTTCCTGTCCTCTACCATCTTCTGGAGTCCATTTAAGTTCACACCTACTGCTTCAGTGACTCCATCCAGCCATCTCATTCTCTGTCGTCCCCTTCTTCTATTGCCCTCAATCTTTCCCAGCATTAGGCCCTTCTCCAGTGAGTCCTTCCTTCTCATTAGGTGGCCAAAGTATTTGAGTTTCAACTTCAGGATCTGGCCTTCTAAAGAGCAGTTGGGGTTGATCTCTTCTAGGACTGACCGGTTTGAACGCCTTGCAGTCCAAGGGACTCGCAGGAGTCTTCTCCAGCACCATAGTTCGAAGGCCTCAATTCTTTTGTGCTCAGCCTTTCTTATATTACTTCATAGTCCGTAGTAAAAAATTGATATTGGAGATGACCAGGCTGAGCCCGACGAGGGGGCCAAACACATCATAAGTCACAAGTCCCTGCGCGCCTGCAAGAGATCTAAGGGCAGCCTACCTTGAATGTCTCTCTTATCTCCCGCTCGTTTCCCTTGATGGTTAGTTGGTCAGATTCTTGTAGAGAGCTTAAGCTTGCAATAAATTTTTATACTCATTTGAACTGCCTGAATCTCCTGATTTCCCCCGGTGCTTGACATTAATTCAACTTAGGAAAATTATTTCACAAAATATTTTATACAAGATAGCATTTTAAACTGGAACATGTATAGATTCGGCTGCTGACTCTCAATCAGTGGGATATCACAGGTGAGCAACAGAGTAAGTCACTGAAACTTTAATTAGTTTTAAAACTATATGGTAAATACGGATAATCTTCAACTTACTACCATTCATTTAGTGACCATCCAAAGTTACAACAGCACTGAAAAGTGACTTACAACCAGCCCTCACACATATATTGTCACAGTATCTCTATGGTCACATGATCAAAATTCAGGCACTTGGCAATCACCTTGTATTTATGATGGTTGCAGCGTCCTGGAGCCACGCAATCACAATTTGCGACCTTCCCTGCTGGTTTTTGACACACAAAATTACTAGGGGAAGCCAGTTTTACTTAAAGCCCATGTGATTCACTGAACTACAGTGATTTGCTAACAACTGTGGCAAAAATGACTGTAAAATTGGGCAAGGCTCACTTAACAACTGTGGTTGGAGGACTACCTGCATAATAACAGAATGTCTGCAAATTTTACCAAAAGATCTTTTTGATTCATCCCTGATGGGATCAGTTTCTTTGAGTGGGAATCCTGGTCTACATTAATCAGAGCCTCAAAGTAAAAGACTATAGACAATACAGTATTGTATCTTATTTGTGTTCTGCACTTATTCTCTGACTGGAAAGTTCTTGAGAAATTGTTAATTTCTTCTCCGGTTAAATTAATACCATATACTTCAGCATTTTGCACACTTAACTGAATTAATTTCACAAATTCAGTTTGTACCTTTGCTGGTATATTACATGAAACAAATGTGTCTGTACCATCTTTCAATTTTTGCAGAAACCTGAAATGATAATATGTGATTTATTCTTTCAATATGCAATTAATTAAACATCCTGTGACAGGATACTGGGTTAGATAGACCTTTTGTCTGGATTTAAACCAGAGAATCTTTTCCCACAAAGTAGAAATTGTTTAATATTCTCCAGTTTTAAAAAATGCAAGTTTGAGTAAGAAATTGCAAACTTTACTGGAGCAAATGCAATACACATACAGTAATTGTTTATACCAGATGTGAAATATGTGCATAGTAGAGAGAGACAAAGCCAGTTCTTGTGCTTTTGGCTGGAATATTATTTTTGTGGCTCTTGAAATTTGTAGCATGTCATTTTGTTCAGTAATTGACTGTTTTTCCAAAATACCCTTTTTATTTAGTGGCCATCCTACAGTAAAGTTAAAAATCTGGCATCTTTTTTTTTTTAATCTGTGAGAATTGGTGCTTATATTTATTTCCCAATATGGATGCTTAGGCTATAATCATAGATCTGTTAGTTGTATTTAGAATGACAAGTAATAATTTTGATAAATTAGACTCATACTGTAAGCTGACCTTTGATAGGTTCTATTGAAATAGGTACATATCAGGATTTAAGCAAATAACCAACATTATAGACATTTCCAACGTAATTTAGGAAACATGTTTAGAGATTCACCTATAGAAATTTGTGCTGTAACATTTAGAAGTAAATCAAATGTTTACTTTTGATTTAGTAAATTTAAAAAAAAATGATCACAAAGTTATGGCACATAGTGCACCCACTAAATTAGAAAACTATATTGAGCAACATTCAGGCAGTTGGGCAAAATCCAATGTTATATAAAGTGTCTATGTAACGGTAGTTTCTTTTGCTCTTCATACATAACTCCTAACTCCTCCAGAGCATGTCCTTAAATTAGGAAGCAAATAATAATTTACAGAGAAATAACAATTATTGTCCCAGTTGAAATACATTATTAGGTAAATGACTTCATTCTAGTTATAATTTCTAATAGATTTGACATAGTTTTAAGTACCTCTGGTATTGTGCTTGATTTTTCCTTCTAAGTATTACTGAGAAATGTCATGTACCAATTGACCAAATTGTTTGTGTAATTTGTAGAGAAAAGTACATGGTGATTTTAAGGCACACAACCTGCTTCTAAATGTAAGTATTGCTCCTTTGTAGCAGTGCACAAATATGCTTTGATGATTATAACCATGTATTTGGAATGATAAATTAAAAAGGCTGAATTTTTCTTCCACCAGTAATCAAGGCCCTGGTGCTGAATCTGGGGTGTGCCTGTGCGCGCATGCGCACGCACACACACACACACACACACACACAAATCACCCTTGCTTACCTCATAATTGTATTTGAAAATAAAGTTTTCAGAATAAATTTTAAGTTCTCAAAGAAGCCTGATGAGAGTTCATAGAGTAGTGTGTCTTTTCTGTCAAAAGCCACAGGAATTTATGATGATGAAAGTTCTGTGGCTCTTGGTTTAATAGTGATCAACCAGGAATGGAGTCTGGGTTGGAAGAGACCGTGGATTGACATACAATTCTGATATGCCAAGATCAAAGGGCAGGATTTTTGCCGGTCTTGGAACTGTCACAGTTAATTTCCTTTGTAAGGCTAACAGTCAAACATGCAAAAGAAGGCTGCTATTCTCAATGTGCACATACTAGGAAGACATAAGTGGCAATTTGTCCACTAGATGTCTGCTCCTACAAGAAAGGCTATCACAAAGGGGGAATTAAACAGACAGTCAACACAAAAGATTTAACAATTACAGAGTAAATTATTTGGGCTACTTAACATATAACATGTGATGGAATTATATGAGTCTTCCTCACATGCCTGACTGCAGCATAATAGCTTGCTGAGCAACTGATCAGAAAAGGACTAAGCAGGCATTGTACAAATGTCTGCATCCATAACTCTGATTTGAGTCTTAAAGAAAGTTTCTGAACAAGCCATTTAACTTTTGCACTAAGAAAGCTCTATGGTAACTGGCTCTTTCAATAAAAGGTGGCCTAACAACCATAGAGACACACTCTCCCCCACCGCCAAGCACACATCAGGATACTGGACTGTAGATTGGGGATTCTACAAAAATATGGTCTATTGGAAAGTTGGCAGTGATGGCAGCAATAAATCAGCAAGTGGGAGGCAAGGAAGGAGAGGTTATGAGCACCCTCTGCAAGCTACACCAGAGTCTGGGGGGAGAAGGGGCGTTGTCTTACCTGAACGCCTTTTCTCAGCAGGATGATGTAGAGTCCAAATGGATGGGTTCTATGACGGCCTTCCTGCCTGGCAGACTGCGTAAAAACTTCGGCCACACCCCTTCCTTTGGGCGTGACCCCAGTTTTGACTTAGGCGAGAAACTTTGTTGGAATTAACATTGCAGCTCTTTATTATATCATTATTACATCCCTGCCTAGACCTATCCTCTGGGTGGGCTTGGACTCTACATCATCCTGCTGAGAAAAGGCGTTCAGGTAAGACAACGCCCCTTCTCCAGCAGGATGGCTGTAGAGTCCAAATGGATGGGACATACCAAAGCCCTCATGTCCCCCTGGGAGGGAATGTCTAGGCTACCGAACTCTGAGCAGATACGACTTGTTGAAGAACTCTTCTGCCAAAAGCCGCGTCTGCTGCTGCTAGGGAGTCTAAACGGTAATGTCGGATGAAAACCGAAGGTGAGGACCAGGTTGCGGCCCTGCAAATCTCTTCCACCGGAGCTTGCGTTAGCCACGCCGCAGATGTGGCTGAGCTCCGAGTTGAGTGGGCAGTCACCTGAGTGGGTGCTGGCAAATCCTGTGAGACGTATGCCTGTGCTATGCAGGCTCTGATCCACCTGCCTATGGTGGAAGGAGATACCTTCTTTCCCATAGTTGATGGTTGAAAGGACACAAATAATGCTTCAGTCTTTCGGAAAGCCGATGTGCGTTTCATGTAGAAACACAGCGCTCTCCGCACGTCTAGCTTGTGCCATCTGTGTTCTAGCCTATGTTTGGGTCTTGGACAGAAATCGGGAAGCGTAAGTTCCTGAGATCTGTGAAAGATGCTATTTACTTTCGGAATGAAGGTCGGGTCTGGTCTAAGAACGACCCTGTCTTTGAAAAAGGTACACAGATCCTTCCTTACTGACAGTGCTGCTAGTTCTGAAATCCTCCTTGCTGAAGTAATTGCCACAAGGAAAGCTACCTTCAGTGATAGGTGATGGAGTGAGCATGTTTCAAGAGGTTCGAAGGGTGCTGATGTCAGGGCTAGAAGGACCTTAGGCAGGTTCCAGGACGGGTACCTGTGTATGACTGGGGGCTTTGTGTTAGATGCCCCTTTTAAAAAGACACTAATCGCTGGATGTTGTGCTAGGGAAGTTAAGTTGTCGCAGGAGAGTACAGTTGAGAGGGCCGCTATCTGTCTGCGGATAGTATTGACTGACAGGCCCTTATTAAGACCCTCCAATAGGTAATCTAGGATATTAGGGATAGATACTGCGGTCGGGTCTAGGTGAAGCGAAGCGCACCACCTACAAAATCCCTTCCATGTAGCGTCGTAAATCCTATTAGTGGACGCTCTTCGTGATGCCTGTATGATCGATATCACCCCTGCCGAATAAGATTGTTTTGTTAAGCTTTGCCGCTCAAATGCCAAGCGGCTAGATGTAGCCACTGGGGATCTGGGTGTACAAGCTTGCCCTGACTGAGTTTTACCCTGTCCGGGGGAATACTCCACGGAGGTGATATCGAAAGGTCCACGAGGTCGGCAAACCACGGGCGCCGTGGCCAGTGAGGGGCAATGCAGACCATCTCTGCGCCCTCCAGGATCTTCTTGCGTATGGTCGCCGGTATTAATGGCAGCGGTGGGAAGGCGTACAGGAGTTGCGCCGGCCACCGGCACCTGAGAGCATCCGTTCCCTCCGATCCCGGGGACGGGAATCTGGAGAAGAACCTGGGGAGTTGTGTGTTCTTGTGGTTGGCAAATAGATCTAGGTGCGGTTGTCCGAACCTCCAGGAGATCTCCTCAAAGAGAACCAGGTCCAGACGCCATTCCGACTGGTCCACCTTGGCTCTGCTCAGGGAGTCTGCCTGGGTGTTTGTCTCCCCTGAGATGTGTTCCGCTCTGATGGAACTCACATTGGTTTCTGCCCACCGAGCCAGAGCCACTGCTTCCTTCATTAGTTCCGCTGATCTCGTTCCTCCCTCCTTGTTTACATGTGCCTTGGCTGCTACATTGTCTGTTAGCACGAGGACGTGCCTCCTCGTTACTAGGTGAGAAAAATGACGGAGGGCCAGGTGTATGGCCCGGAGCTCCAGCCAGTTGATGCTGTGTGACAGGTCCTTCTGTCCCCACTGGCCCTGTGCTATCTGGGTTCCCAAGTGGGCTCCCCATCCGAACAGGCTCGCGTCTGTCGTGAGTGTGACCCTGTTCGGTTCCCTGAATATGCTCCCCTTGAGTGTCGTGGGGGATAGCCACCATTTTAGTGATTTCCTCACCTGTGCTGGTACCAGCACTCTCCTGTTGGAGGTGCTGAGGTTCCTCCTCTGGTAGGGTAGGAGGAACCACTGCAACTCCCTCGAGTGGAGCCTTGCCCATGGGATGATGCCCATGCAAGATATCATCTTCCCCAGGAGCTTCGAGAATTGTAGCAAGGGCACTCTCCTGATCTTTTGAATTTGGTGAATTAACTTGGATATGCTGATCAGTCGCTCCTGGGAAAGGTATACCCTGCACTGTGACGTGTCTATCACCGCGCCCAGGTGTTGCAGTCTCCTTGAGGGAATGAGGTGGCTCTTGTTTAGATTGACCGAGAATCCGTGTCCCTGGAGGGTTCGGATTGTGGTCTCGAGATCTGCCCTTGCTTGTTCCCGAGATCTGGACTGAATCAAGATGTCGTCCAGATAAAACTGAACGCGAACCGGGATCAACCTGAGATGGGCCGCTATTACAGCTAGGATCTTGGTGAATACCCTTGGTGCTGATGATAGTCCGAAGGGTAATGCCCTGTATTGGTAATGCCGACCCGCGTAGGTAAATCTGAGGAATTTCCGATAGCTGGGATGGATGGGGATGTGTAGGTACGCCTCTGTGAGATCTATTGAGGATAATAGGTCGTCTTCCCTGACGCTGGCTAGGATGGATTTCAAGGAGTGCATCTTGAACCTCCTGTACTTTATGAAATAGTTCAGGCCCTTCAGGTCCAAGATTGCTCTCCACCCTCCTGATGTCTTTGGGATAACGAAGAGGATAGAATAAAATCCTCTTCCCTCCTCTTCCTTTGGTACCCTCTCTATGGCCTGAATTGACAGGAGGTGGGCTATGGCCGAAGTTATCAGCCTCGTCTTGTGTACTCTTCTGGAGATGGGACATCTGATGAACCGGTTTGGTGGGGGAGAACAGAAATCTAAGGTCAGGCCATGCCTGATCGTTTCCAGAACCCAGGCGTCGGTCGTGGTCTGCTCCCAGACCTCGATGAAATTTCCTAACCGACCCCCAATGGGAGTATCCTGTTTGGCGTCACTTGGTACGCTTAAAGGATCTGCCTCCCGCTCCCCTATATGGGCGTCTGGACTGGAACTGGCCCCTGGCTCCCGGGCTTTGGCGATCCTGGGTTCGATCCTGCCTCGGGTAGAAGGATCGTGAGCCTCTGGGCCAGTCCCAGGATTGCCCTGATCGAAAGGGCTGTCTCCATTCCCAGGGGCTTCCTGGGCGGGAGCCCTGTCTCCGGAAGTCCTGACTGCCTCTCCTGTCTAACTTCTTTGATGGATGTACTAGGATTTTTTTCTTGTCTCTGCCTTCGCTGACATGTGGGTCCAGAATGGAACCAAATAGGGCTACTCCACTGTATTTGGACGTCGAGAGACGCCATTTGGACCTCAGGTCTGTCTTCCAATTTTTGAGCCACAGTAGCCTACGCGAGGCCACTGTGGCCGCAATGGATCTTGCCGCATACTTTGTTGCTTACAGTGAGGCGTCAGACACGAATTGGGAGGCCGCGAGGAGCTTGGCCAATGTTTGGTGTACTCTGACCTGGTCTGGAGGCACCGTGCCTTGCAGTTCCCTCAGCCACATGATACTGGCCCTCGCGAAGAATGATGATGAAGTGGCTGCTCTGGCCGCCCAGGCTGCAGCCATATGGGAACGCCGGAGGGAGTGTTCAAATTTCTTCTCCTCAGGTCTCAAGACCTCCGCCATGTCTCCTGGAATCGCGGAGGTAGAAAATAATGAAATCAAGGGGTTATCTACAGTAGGAACCTCTAACATGTTAGAGAAGGAGGGAGATAGGTTGAAAAGCTTTCTTTCCGCGCTGTTAGGTGCCGGTGGGCTTGCAAGTGAGGACCATTGTTCCTCCAGCGTGGTCATAAAGACCTCCGCGCATGGAATGTACTTATCTTGTGGAACCTTTTTGGCAAATAGAGGATTGGCCTCCTTGCTTGTTGAGGGCTTCTCATCCTGCACTGATGTTAGGTTGACTGTGGAAACTGCCTTTATCAGGAGTGATTTTAGGAGCGCTGGGTTAAAGAGGCCAGAGCTCGTCGTCTGCTCAGGTGTAGTCTCCTCGTCCTCCGAGAGGGGCATGTCTGACATGTCAAGGTCTACTGAGTCACCCTCTCCCAGTTGAGAGGAAGTTTCAGAGATGCTGGTAGGGGGTGGCCTAGCCCGTCCCTTACGGGGTGTGTGAAAGGCCACTTGCCCCTTAGAAGCCATGAACTGGGAGAATGCATCCTGCATGAATGCATGAAATTGTGCCAACCATATGTTCTCCTGCGCCTTGTCGCTGGGATGAGGCGCTGGAGTGTGGTCGGGTGAAGAAGCTGGTGAGGAGGGATTGGAGGAATCTAACTGTTCAGTTTCCCCAGGAGGAGACCAAGTCTTGAGCACTTCCTCGGCAGTAGGTTCTGTGCTGGGCGCCACCACTGGGACAGGGGAAACCAAGTTTGTCCCATTGGCATTGGTTCTCTGTGCCCTGCTAATTTGCCTTTCTAAAGCCAAATGTCTCCTCAAAGCCTCTCGCTCAGCCGTTTTAGACTGTCCCTTCTGAGAAAGGTGCTTTGTTTTAGCTTTCTTCTTCCCCCACCTCTGATTCAGAAGATCTGCGTTTTTGTTGTTGCTGTGGGGGGGACAATTGAGGGACCTGTGTGACTGAATACGAGACATTGTCTGCCATTGTGCCAGACACCCCGAGTAGGCAATGCCTGGAATGGGGGAATGAGGTACGCAGATCAGATGCAGATGCTTGGGGCTGTGCCCTCTTCTGCCTATACCAACAATGGCCGGACAGACAGGATTCTTTGGACAGAAGATCCTGCAAGGCAGTGACTAAAGGTCACTATAGGAACAGTTAGGAAAAAAAAATATTCCTCCTCACCTCCTCACCTAGTCCAGACAAAAGTGCAGTTTATATCTCTCTTTCCCCCGGTCTGTGGCTGTGGTAGCAGACCACGCTCAGAACTGATAGCAGTTCTCTTCCTTTTATTCCTCTTCCTTCCTCCTGCCCCAATGCCTTAATGTAAAGGGAAAAAAGAACGGCGGGCTAAACTGCTCGTTTAAAATGGCGAATGGGAGGAAGCCCCGCCTCCCAATAGTAGCCGGATGAGCCACGAGGCTCCAACAATGGCGGTCCTTAATAGCCAGCGGTAGGGTAATTAACCGGCTTGAGTGGCTCTTTTTGTCCTTAAGGGGCTGCGCCTCTCCGCTGGGGGAGAAAAAACGGCGCTGAGGCTCTGCCGGTCAGTTTGGGCGCGCCGCGCTTCTCGCGCCGCTCAGCTGATCAGCGGCTCCGTGGGCCGCCGGTTGTATTTCCCGCGCCGCTCAGCTGTTTGGCGCTGAGCGGCGCCTCAGCTCCTCCGCCGGACGGAGTGGCGTCCGTGCCACTCAGCTGCCCGGCGGGCCTGAAATCGGCGAGCGATCCGGGAAATGTCCGCGCCAAACAGCTGTTTGGCGGGTCGAGAATCCGCGGGAGACCCAGTGACCGGCCCGAGCCCCCCTGGCTAACCGCCCTGACGATCTTCTCACCACTCCGACGATCCTGGCTGGGAGTCCGTCGGTGTCCTATTCAGCTGCCAGAGATCCCTGCTTGCTAATGCAGAAAGAAAGGGGAGGAAAACTGGAAGAAGAGATTCTCTTTTTTTTTTTTTTTTTGATGAAATCTCTTTCTTTCCTAAGAGCTGCTTCTCGCACTTCTACCAGGCTACGAGACTGAGTCAAAACTGGGGTCACGCCCAAAGGAAGGGGTGTGGCCGAAGTTTTTACCCAGTCTGCCAGGCAGGAAGGCCGTCATAGAACCCATCCATTTGGACTCTACAGCCATCCTGCTGGAGAATAGGTTGTCTATGTTTCCCCACACACACCCAGTTGTAGAAATTAAGATGTACAAGGACAAAAATTCCCAGCAAATCAATACTATTCTCCTAGCATTTTAAACAAGGAATCACAGAAAGAAAACAATGAACATGAAAAATGTGTTTAAAAATGGTTCATTTGCCAATTTAACATCCAAGGTAAAAGAAACAAATTCTGGCTATAATACTTAACAAGATAGACATTAACATTTATGGGAAAAATATGGAATGACAAGGTAGTATGATTTACTCTGAAAATATTGCACAATTTCCTTTTATCTCTCTTCTAGGAATTAAGAACAGTTGAAGAGGGTTGCACTAAAAAGTTTCCTATAAAATGCAAATTAGTCTAACATGGTACTTGCTTCAAATTGCTTTCTTCAATGCATCAGTCATAGTGGAACAATCTGTATCTGATGCAGAATTGCAAACAAGGTACTTAGATAGGTTCAAAGGTGGCAGAGGCAAATAGGGAGCTCTTTCCCAGCCTGTTTTTTTTTTTTTTTTCATTTTTAAGGCTAACTCTGATCATGCTCAGTATGCCTTGCTCACTATAATTTGGAGAGAAAATCTGCTTGCATAGGAGCTGTATGAATAAACGAGTGTTCACTTTGGATACGGACTGAAACATCTGAATGAAAGGTTCTGCAGAACAAGAAATAAGTCATATTTCAGATGTGTGCATACTACTAACCTTGTAGAAATTATTTGACATCTAATTACTCTATTCTCTTAAGCGTACAGTCTTCAGTGTAGCAGTTTGTTTAAATACAGTTATTAAAATCATGTGTTAAAACAAGGCCGGTCCTCATAATACAGCGCTATTAACTGGAGCCTGTATCTCATGCTAAATTAAAAGAATTGTCTTTAAGTCAAATGTATAAAATTACATTAAAGAACACATAATAGGACAAAGCCCCACATGCTAAATTGACAGCTGTTTTTATAACTACACTTTCTTTGCATGACTTTCTTTGCAAGCACCTTTTGGTCATTTCAGACATACAAATACTTGAAACAGCCCTTCCCAGCTGCAGTTCACTCACTTGATCAGTCCTATGTAATTCGGTGCCAAATACAATTTTTTGCAATTTTGTACAAAACATATAGATTATTTAACACCTGCTTGACAGACTGCTTTGCCAGCCAACAAAATACAAGATACATTGATTACATAGACTGGGACACAGTCTGGTCTTTCAAATCTAAGAACTACAAGAATGAGAGATGCAGTATCCTTTTTATATGGTTCCATGTAATACTTGCTGTAAGAAGGCTATTTAAACAAATTTTGTGATATAGGTGATCTTTTAGCATGCTTCCATGTTCACCATTCTCTGCCTTTACCTGTCAATAACAACACTGATCTTGGTGTCTGAATCCAGCAAACTTTAGGCAAAAAAATGAGGCAGGGAAAGAAAAGCCTAGAGAGGCAAAACCCTGGTTTGTTTTCTGATTTTTCTTTAATACCTCAACCTTAGAATGCCACATATACAAAAGAGATAGTGCATCTCACATTTGCTTATAAGCTAGGACATATTTTTGAAGTCCACAGAATCCTACCTGCAAACAACATATAGTACTTGTACAACAGGTTATAAATAAACTGATTTTCAAGCATAGAGCCAGCCCAAACATAAGAATATGCTATTTAAAAAGACCTAAGGCAAAATGGATTCCATTTCCAATGGATAAAAAAAGAATTGTGCAAACAAGCTTAAAACTATTTTTGTGCCAGTGTTATAAAAATGTAGGATTTTTTTTTTTTTTTTTTGTAAATAGAACATTGACCCAAATACCAGAAACCTGTGAGCAATCTGAGCAGACAGACCCTTTTCTTTAAGAGAAAAGGATGTTTTGGTATCTCTTTCTCTTTCGTCAAGTACATGTATGTATCTCACACTGCTTCTGCTCTCCAAATACATTTTCCCATGGCAGTACTCTTGTGTGAGTCAATGATGCTTGAGCAGAGTAGCTTGCTAATTTCAGTCCACACAATTTAATATTTAGCATCTACTATTACCCTCCACACAACTCCTCTGGGTGGGTGTGCTAGCAGGCTTTCATGAAGAGTAAAACTATTTTTAAGTACTGGATCAAGGCTTTACATAAAAATAGCATCCTATGTATTTCCTAAAAGATGTCTCTTCCTCCCTCTCATTATCAATTACCTGCAGCTAGTTGTAAATTATTGTCTTATAAGGAAATGAACGTTTTGGGTGCATGGTTTTGTTTACTAATCACTGGTTCTTTGGGTAGAACAATAGGTATAATCCATTAAAAATGATGTTTTCTTGACAGGTCAGAAGAGACACTCTGGCTCAGTTAGTTTCATAAGAGGACAATAATGCGGCATCAACGGGCTCCATACAAGAAGGACATGTGAAAGATCTCATCAACCAGTCATCTATACAGTCCAGATGGTAAATATGCATGCAGGGCAGAAATCTGATAGGGTCTCCGTAAACAAAGTCCATCATACAGATGACACACCTAGAAAAAAAACAAAGAGAAACAAGCTGGAAAAAATGCAAACTGTATAGAAATAGGCTCATGGAATTAGGGAGAAAAATCTTGTGAACTTGTTTTCTAATACACATTAAAGTTGTTACTTTGCTAAATCTTTGGTGTTAAACTTCTAGAAGTTATTACGGTATTACATTCTAATCTCTGGAAATCCATGTGAAATCTATTAAGGCTGCAAATCTGTGCACATTTATTTCATAGTAAACCGCACTGAGTACAGGGTTCAATAAGTATATGTATAATTCTGCTGCAGAATCTATGTTAATTAATACGGATAATAATTTCATTGAAGACAGACTGCCTTTATTTCATGTTTTTGAGATCTGCAATTTCAGTTTAAGTAATTTAGAATAATTTAATTATTTAATATAGCATTGCTTACCCAATTTCTTTTTGAGAATTAAATTTTGGGGAGGAGTGCATACCTCTCAAGCCACTTGGAAATGTTCTGTATTTTATTATTAGTGAGTTTTTAACTCAATAAAGCACTTAACATTAATCTTAGTTTTGCTAATACATGTTACTTCATTTCTGGGTTAAATACTGCCGATTTTTCAATGTTAAAAATAGGGGGAATAAGCCATTTATGCAATCTGAAATTGCCTTGGAACAATTCGGTGAAAAATATTTATCACATTTTGGATATTCAGTTGTTGTTTTTTCATAGCATCATCCACACGTGATATGGATTCTACATATATGTAAAGAAACTCACTGTTATTTGTTCACTCAGTATTTTGTGCTTGTTTAATTCATCAAGAGCCGAGGTGGTGCAGCAGTTAGAGTGCAGTACTGCAGGCCACTTTAGCTGACTGTGTTCAGCAGGTCAGCGGTTCAAATCTCACCGGCTCAAGGTTGACTCAGCCTTCCATCCTTCCGGGGTAGGTAAAATGAGGATCCAGATTGTTGGGGGCAATGTAAATATATATATATACATTGCTTACTGGTGTACACCGCTTAGAAAGTGCTCGCACTTAAAGCGGTATATAAGTCTCATAAATAAATAAACAAAATCACTCAACATACGATGTTCCAATATGAGAAGATGAATCTCCCTTTAGATTTAAAAAACTTATTGCACTAACATAGCAGGTATAACTACAATCTGATATTGGCCTATTCCTATAAGACAAGTAGCTTCAAGTCAGTAACATTGGAGGGTTTTCTAGCACTGTTCATTTCAGAGTCTCCAGGAATATTTCTATGGAGTTTACATTTGATAATTCCAAATCACTGAATTTGTTCTTGATGGTTTAAATCCACAATTCATTTCTCACAAATGAGCATGCTACGTCAATGAACCAGAATTTGGTAGAATTCTTTATCAGAGAAGGAAACAGGACTACTATTTCTGCCAATTCCTTCTTTCAACAGTCACCAATGCCATCCTAGATACCCCTGCATTGGAAGATGTCCCTGGGTATGACACTCTCTCAAGACTGGTTTAACATTTACATGATGCCACTAGTGAGGTCATTCAATGGCATAGGGCAGTGTTTCCCAAACTTGACAATTTTAAGGCATGTGGACTTCAACTCCCAGAATTCCACAGCCAGCATTGCTGGCTGTGGAATTCTGGGAGTTGAAGTCCACATGCCTTAAAATTGTCAAGTTTGGGAAACACTGGCATAGGGTGAGATATCTTCACCGTGAGCTGTCCAGGTGATGTCATGGAAATTCTATCTTGAGGATTGGAGCCTGTGGGGATTTGGATGGGGTGGAACAGGCTTCAATCCAATCCTAATATGACTGAGTGGCTTAGGTTCTATCACTCCTGGTTCTGGGATTCTCCATCTCTCATTCTGCACGGGATTACGCTATCCCACACAGAACTATGGGATTACGCTATCCCACATAGTGTGCTATTTCTCTTTACAAAACAGAAATGATTGTGATTTGGAAAACTTTTCCATAACTTTGTAGATGGGGGGGGGGGTTTCCTTCCCAGACGGATTATTACAATTTGCCCTACTTGGTCCTGCCCTTGAAGTGCATCCAGGATCTGCACTTAGTACAAAATACTGGCAGTTATAAGCACTTTTTAATCTATGGATGTCATAACTCTGCTTTGTGAGTTGCATTGGCTGTCAGTATCATTTTGAATACAAGGTGCTGGTGCTTATCAAATAAAGCTCTCCGAGACCTGATGCCAGGTTATTTGAGGGACTGCTTCTCCCCAATCACATCTACCCATCCCATCAATTATGGCAAGAAGGTATGTTATGGTCCCATCCATTAAAAAGTGTCATCTGGTGGGACTCAGAAGGAAGCCTTTTCTATTAGGCCTACTTTACTCCTCAGATATCAAATTAGACAAGACCCCAATGGCCTTTTGCAAGGTATGAAGAAATGGCTATGTTCCCTGGCTTGAAGACTGAAGTGTCTGCTGCAGTTTGTGAATTAATGTTGTTGAAATATCTGTATTGCATCTGTACTGATGGCTTCTGACTATTTATTTTATATTTTTTGTTGAGTTTTTGGCTGATTTTTAAAACTGTTAGCTGTTCAGAATCAGTTATTTTACATGGATTGACGTATCAATTGAATAAATACAGGGATAAACAAATGAATAGTGTCTGAATCCCCAAAATAGATATTTAGGGGAAATTAGAATAGCTTAATACCATACATTTATCAGTATACAGACATATACGTAAAATAGATAGTATTCTATTGTAGATTTTTGCTCCTGTTGACAAGATTTTATAGATTATGATCTATAAAATTTATTTTGGCTTTTGGACATTTTCTAGTATTATTTTCTATTTTAATAACTTTAAATCATAGGCTGTAAGAAAAAGATTTTGAAATCAGTAACATACTATACAGATTCTTTGAATTTGTAAACTGCTTTAACAGCTAGAAATGTACTTCCAAACACATGATTACTGTAAAATATTATGCAACAATGTTCTGTCCTTTTGCAGCAACACAATCTCTGAAAAACAATTTCTATCAGTAATGCTACATTCCTGTATTCCAGTCCATTATTATTATTGTAGTATATGTAATTATGTGGCATATCTGCTTTGAATGATAATATGGAAAAGATTTAATCCCATTAGCACAACTGAGTGTTATACTTGTAAAAAAAAACATGCACTGAAAAGCTGTTTGTTGCTACACAGTTTATATCAGCATGAATGGGAATTGTCCCTGGAAATAAATTGATTACAACATTCATTATTGTCAGGTAAAAGCCAGAGCAAAGTCACTCAGCCGGCTTTCATGTCAAAAGGTGGACAAGAAGTTATGGTCTCCGGCTTTCTGTATAAGTATAAGTGCATAAATATAAAACATTTATGCATAAATGCATGAATATAAAACAGGTTGTTGAGATACAGAATGATAAGACGATTTTAGGTAAAAAAGAGATAAGAATGATTAGGCTGTTTTAAATTTTACATTTCACTACGCAGAAGAAAATGTACAGCTACTTCCACCCCTTTTTCAAAAACAACAGTTTTTCTGTGGTAAGGAAAAATAAAATCCAGAAGTTGTGAGAAAACATGGAAAGAATTCAGAAGAAAAGTAAAATCATCTGGAGTTACTGTAAAATTTTGTTTAAAAAAACAGTCAGGGCAATGCACAACGAAGATATTTATTGTCTGGAAGCATCCCAGAAAACATCTGCTTCCCATTAAAAAAAGAAAGACAAGAGAAAAGCAGTATATAGAATCTGAGAAGGTGAAGAAAATTGTAAACAAGGAACAAGATTTTTGAAAAGCCCGTGAAAGCCATCTCTTAGGTGAGATTACTACTGTGTTTCCCTGAAAATAAGACCCATCTCTCTCTCTCTCTCTCTCTCTCTCTCTCTCTCTCTATATATATATATATATATATATATATATATATATATATATACATACACACACACACACACACACACACACACACACACACACAAAAGAGGCGGTAGGTCTTACTTTTGGGGATGTCTTATTTTTTGGGCGGGGGACATTTGCTTCGCCTCGCAGCAGTGGCACCAACAGCCCCATCCAGCAGGAGCCTGCGTGGCCCTGGCCCACTTTGCATAGCCCACTGCGCCATGCCACCGCCACAAGACGAGGCAGATGGGGGAAGGGGGTGGAGCTTCTCCAAGCACTCCACAGGCACCCAAACACTTTTCTAGGGCTTATTTTGGGGGGTCTTATTTTCAGGGAAACACAGTATCAGAAATGGCACTTCTTCAACTTACTCTCTGATCTTTTTCTCTGAACCATCTCTTCCAGGATCATAGACTCCTTTTGGCAGGTGCTGTATAAGGCCTATCCGTTGTGCTATTCTAATCTGTTCTTCCTCCGTAAGCTGGGTGGCTAGGCGGGTCTGGCTAGGTGTTGGATGGTAAACTGGAACTTGTTCCTTAAATGAAAGAGGATAGGGGAAGAAAAGAAAAACAGTTAAATAGGCTTTTTTAAAGTTGATGACATAAATGAAATGGAAATTATTTGCTTCAATTTCTCTTTCTGCTGGAAGGTTACCGTATTTTCTGGCGTATAAGACAACTTTCTAACCATGCAAATCTTCTCCAAAGTCGGGGGTCATCTTATACGCCGAGTCGTTTTATACACCAGAAAATACGGTACTCACAAGACAGTTCTTTTCTTTGGTTTAATAATAAAAAGAAAATTGAATAAACAGCAATTCCTCTGTCATTGCTGGCATGAATTTGTTTCAAGCTGCTCTTTGCAAAGACAATTTAATTTTGACTCTATGGGTTAATTAAATAGATGTACAAACTTGACATGAGTATCTACTTGCAGGCTTGGCTAATTGATTCACTTTTATTCTGCCAATACGGAGAAGCTGTCACTGATGAATTTTTCAATTTTGCTTTGTATAGTTATACTGACATCAAGGGAAGAAGGATGTTAAAAGATAACATCCACCTTTTAAGCAAACAAGAACGTAAAGGTTATATAGTGTCTAATTAAAACTTCATTGTTAGTTAAATAGATTTCTCTGCCCCATAAACATCCCTCGTTCATGCTGCTTAGGAAATACATGAGAGAAATCCCCTAAAACTATTGAAAAAGCAAATAAGATGATATACTATAGCATAAATCTGGAATACCAAAACTTCAGCTAAGATATAGATGCCAGACAACTGGCTATCATCTCATGCTTGATAACAAATCACAGAAAAAAGTTTACATTCTTAACAGAATTTATCTATAACTAAAATATGCTAAGTAGCTGGAATATGCTACCTAGTCATTATTTTGTAGTTTCAGTGGGTTTTAATTTAGTTCAGTATTTTCAAAATGAGTTCCATTTGTTAAGTTGAATTTGTAATAAAACCTCACCTCAAAGCAATAAATTGGACACATCTCAATGGATGTTCTTTTCTTTGCATGCACACACCCCACTCCACAACAGCCAAGGGGCAAAAACCTCTTTAAAAAAGCCATGCAAGTGTTACAAAAGATACAGCTGCTTTAATAATTAAAAGAAAGCTGCTTCATTATCAATAACATGCATTACAAGAGGCCTCCTACAAGTGCTCTGCTTGGCTATATTAATAAAGCTATTCATGTATACAGGTAGTTCTCAACTTTCAACCTTTCATTTAGTGACCACTCAAAGTTACAGTGGCACTGAAAAGAGTGACTTATGACTTATTTTTCACACTTACAACCGTTGCAGCATGCCCATGGTCATGTGATCAAAATTCAGACTTGGCAATTGGCTCCTATTTATGACGGTCGCAGTGTCCCGGAGTCATGTGATCACCTTTTGCAACTTTCTGGCAAGCAAAGTCAATGGGGAAGCCAGATTTATTTAATAACCATGTTACTTAACAATTGCAGCGGCTCATTTAACAACTGTGGCAAGAAAGGTCGTAAAATGGAGCAAAACTCACTTAAAAACTGTCCTGCTTAGCAACAGAAATTTTGGACTCAATTGTGGTTGTAAGTTGAGGATTATTTGTAATGGCTAAAACCAAGCTGTGAAATGATTTTTTCCCCCCAGGCGTCCCTTGCTCTTGCGTAAAAAATGGGATGGGGAGGTGAAATTCCAAATGTCTAGCACCAACTTGTAAACTAAATATAATTCTCAAACAAAGGTCAAATATTAACGTGCTGGCAGTATTAATATTTTTCCTTATTTTTGGAATAGACAAATAACATGACAAATGCCAGATAGTATTGGTTAATCTATAGAGGATGTTGTTTACAGACAACGAAAAGAAGTGTCCACATTCTGCATCTGTCTGTTTCCTCGAAATGATCATTTATTGATCAGAAGAGAACAACTAACATGCTTCAGAGGGCTTTGTTAAATTTGCTGACACTCTCTCTTTGGTGGGCCTTTATTCCATTTACAAGTCAGAAACCTAGTTAAAGAGCAACAAGGACCACAACTTAAATGCAGTGCTGGTAGTATCTTATGTTGAAACCTCTATAAATTTGAGGGTTGACTGATGGAAAAGATTCCTTACAAGAGGATGAACCCCTTTCCTTGGGGGGGGGGCTTTTCTCCTGGAAGTTAGGGTTAGGGCAGTTACTTTGTTACGATGGCCGGGATATGTAAAATCAGAATTTGGGCATTAGCCTATGGAGAAATAAATAGTAGATCAGCTCTCCCCTCCAGGGTTCCCCATTGTACCTCTGCACTGTGTGTTTTTGATTTGGCAGGTTTAGGCTTGAACAGATTCACCAGTACTATATTTCATTTGGCCTCACACGTGTTTTAAAGTCCCGAGACATAAAAACATAACTATTTTTTATTTGATTACATCATTTCTTATTATTTTCTTAAAAAGAGGTATTCTGGAACTGGAATTCAAGAAAAAGTAAAGTTATCAAGAGGAATAAGCAGCGAATACTGAAACTATATTTTCCAAGAAATCAGAATCAATCAGAGCTGATGTGGGAGCTGCAGTTGGATCATTCTCCAGCATGCCGAGTGGAGAATCCACAATGGGTTTTCCTCGTCTTCTGCCCGTAGACTAGTTGGCCAATTTTGCTCCGCCTCTCCTCTTTTTTTTTTTTTTTTATTGAAATTTTTCAAAAATTTTACAAATAAACATCCCCCCCCCTCCCAAACCACCCCACCCTCCCCCCCGACTTCCCAGAACTGAATATAGGATTATTTAACAAATTTTAAAAAATAACGTTTACAATTTATAAGATAATTAATAAAAATAATAAAAGTCATAATAATAATATATATAATAATATATATAATAATAATATGCATAACATAAGCTTTAAAATGAATAATATATACTAAAAAAGAAAAAAAAAGGGAAAAGAAAAGAGAGAGAGAAAGAAAAAAGAAAAAAGTAGACGAAAAATAGAACATATATATAAAAAATATATATATAAGTAATAATACGTAAAGAAAAAAGGAAGAAAGAAAGAAGGAAAAAACAATCATTACAAGTTATAAAAAAGCTAAATGGTATTTTTCCATATCCAAATTATATTGTATGAAATTTATCCATTTTTCCCATACTGCAAAGAATTTCTCTTGAGATTGCTCCTTTAAAAAAGCCGAAATCTTTGCCATTTCTGCCAGATACGAAACTTTGTGAAACCACTCTTGCAAAGTAGGCAAGGATTCCTTCTTCCAATATTGCCCTATTAACAGCCTAGCGGCTGTAATCAAATTTAACATCAATATAACCTCCTTAGCATCACAATCAGTAACAATACCTAGTAAAAATAATTGCGGAGTAAATTTTACCCTCCGTTTAAAAATTCTTTGGATATTCCACCATATCTTAATCCAAAAAGCTTTTATATGCTTACACGTCCACCAAGTATGATAATAAGTAGCATCCAAATGTCCACATCTCCAGCATTTCGGCTGCAGATTAGGGTACATAATAGACATTTTCTTTGGATCAAGGTGCCATCTATAAAACATCTTATAAAAATTCTCTCTTAAATTTTGCGCTTGTGTGAATTTAACATTTCTTATCCAAATAAGTTCCCAGGTATCCATTGAAATCGTTTCACCAATATTCTGTGCCCATTTAATCATACAATCTTTAACTAATTCAGGTTCTGAGTCCAATTCCACTAAAACCCCATAAACTCTCTTAATATGGGTTGGCCTTTGATCTCTTACTTGTTTTAAAAGAGCTTCATCTTCTCTAAGCCAGCCCATTTTACAATCCATCTTCCATCTGTCCACTATTTGTCTGTATTGGAACCATGAATAAGTTAAATTTTCATGCGTTAATTCTTCCAAAGATTTTAACTGCCAATCTTGGCCATCCCATCTAAGTAACTGTGCATAAGAGACCATATCCATATTAACCCCTTTCCTTATGCCTTCTATGGCATGCCGAGGTATAGCCCATAATGGTATTTTGAAGTCACTTTTATAATACTTTCTCCACACTCTAAGCAAAGAGATTCTTATAATATGAGACTTAAAAACCCAATCCACTTTTTTATTAAATATTAAATAGGCATGCCATCCAAAAAGTAAGTCCCAACCTTCCAAATGAAGTATTTCTATATTTGTTAAATTCACCCAGTCGCTGATCAATGTTAATACTACAGCATCATAATACAATTTCATATTTGGTACCTTGAGTCCTCCTCTCTCACGAAAATCTTGCATTATTTTAAGTTTCACCCTTGGTTTTTTCCCTGCCCAAACAAATTTATTAATACCTTTTTGCCATTCATCTAAATTACGTTCATTCTTTAAAATAGGTAACATTTGAAACAAAAAAATAAACTTTGGCAGGACATTCATTTTGATAACTGCAATTCTACCCATAAGGGATAACTGTAGATTGTTCCAGTTTTTTAAATCCTTCTGTACCTCCATCCACAGCTTTTCATAATTATTTTTATACAGTTTTGCATTAGAAGCAGATAATGTGACCCCCAAATATTTTACCTTATCAACAATTTCAAAATCTGTTAAGTTAACTAAAACCTGTTTATCACCATTAGTCATATTTTTAGCTAATATTTTGGTCTTATTATTATTAATTTTAAAACCAGAAACACATCCATATTGTTGAATCAATTGTAATAATTTTACCACCGAACAGGTAGGTTGAGACAGAGTAACAACCAAGTCATCTGCAAAGGCTCTTAATTTATATTCTTTTTTATTAATTTCTATTCCTTTTATTTCTTGAGACTCCCGAATTTTAATCAACAAAATTTCCAATGTTAAAACAAACAATAACGGAGATAACGGGCATCCCTGTCTTGTTCCTTTTTCTATTACAAAAGCCTCTGACAAACCCCCATTTACAATAAGTTGAGCAGTCTGTTTTTGATATATATTAGATAATACTTGTAATATATTTTGTCCAAAATTCATCTCCTTAATTAAACATAACATAAACTGCCAATTCACTTGGTCAAAGGCTTTTTCAGCATCCA